TGTTTCCATTTTTGGGCCATTAATATTCTTGCTGCTGTTACTGCGTATTGAAAGAGTTTATTGTCCCTTCTATTTATTTCACTTCCTATTATTCCTAACAGAAATGCTTCTGGTTTTTTTACAAATGTATATTTCAACATTTTCTTCAATTCATTATATATCATTTCCCAGAAACATTTCACTTTCTTACACTCCCACCACATATGAAAAAAGGTTCCTTCTTTTTCTTTACATTTCCAACACTTATTACATGTCTTATACATTTTTGCTAGTTTAACCGGTGTGATATACCATCTATATACCATTTTCATAATGTTCTCTTTTAACGCAGTACATGCTGTAAATTTTATATTTACATTCCATACTTTTCCCCACTCATTCAATTGTATATTGTATCCAAAATCTTTGTCCCAATGTATCATCACCGACTTTACTTCTTCATCCATCGTTTGCCATTCTAACAACATTTTATACATTTTTGACAATATCTTATAATCACTGTTAATTATTTCTGTTTGAAATTTCGATTCTTTTTCTGCATATCCACTCTCTTTACAATCCTTTTTAAACATTTCATTTACCTGAAAATAATGCAACCAATCAAACACAAATTCTTTTACTTGTTCGTATGGCTTCATTTTCCACTTTCCTCCTTCTTTAATTATTAATTCTCCATATGTAATCCAGTTCCCTCTCATATTGATTTTCTTTACGCTCATAACCTCTAATGGGGACAACCAGTGTGGAACTTTAGGTTCTAATATATTTTTATACCTATCCCATATTTCTATTAAGGATCTCTGGAAAATATTATTCTCAAAACCCTTGTGGCTTTTCTTCTTCTCCAACCATAGATACGCGTGCCATCCAAATCTGTTATCAAATCCTTCTAAATCTAAAAGTTTGTTATTTTTTAATTTTATCCATGCTTTTAACCAAGGACTGTTGGATATTCTCTGTGTGTGAGAATCATTTGTTCCAGAAACAGAGAAGAAGTTTCAAGAAGCAGCAGAAGGCTGAGATTGTTTTGCCTGCGCAATGATGTTTTCTGTGGGAACTGTTCTTTGGACATGCACAGTGTGACAGGAAGTACTGATAACAACAGTTCTGTGTAACTTGTGAGTCTCTTGCTTGTGTCTTGTGGTGAGAGAAGCAGAGAGGGAGTCATGGACTCTTGTTGGACTCTAAGCATGCCTTGACCACGGCAGTGGTGAATGTCTGTATATATTTGCTACCAATATGCTTTTATGCCTGTTAAGTAAACTTCTACACTTGACTGAATCTTTATGGCATCCACGAGTGTTTATTGCTATTTCCAGCACTCCTTCCAGTGCGGAGAAGGTGTGCGCAGCTTCCCATTGGCTGCAGGAGCTTCCTGCAGCCAATGGGAAGCTGGCCAGTGTCGCAGAAGGCAGTTCCTGCTCTACTCCGCACCGGTTTAGTGCGGTGCACAGGAGCCAACCGAGGTCCCCAAGCGGGCAGTGGGGGTCCATGGGCCAGTTAAATGGCCTTAGGTTGCTGACCCCTGGTGTGGACCTTCACCCCGAGAACTCTTCCAAGGAAGGAGCTGCGTTGAGATGTAACTCTACCGAGTATGGATCCTGGCACACACGCACAGCAAAAGTGATGCCGGACCCAATCCTTCTAAATCATCCATCGAAGGTTGATGGCCTGATCCAACACTAACCAGGGTTCAGTGTGATGGCACTTGGCCTTGGCACTTACAGGGCGCCTTCCAGATAGGCATCAGACCCATGCCATCTCTATTATTGTGAAAAGGATCTAGGAGTCTTGGTTGACCACAAACTTGACATGAGCCAACAGTGTGACGCGGCAGCTAAAAAAGCCAATGCAATTCTGGGCCGCATCAATAGGAGTATAGCATCTAGATCAAGGGAAGTAATAGTGCCACTGTATTCTGCTCTGGTCAGACCTCACCTGGAGTACTGTGTCCAGTTCTGGGCACCACAGTTCAAGAAGGACATTGACAAACTGGAACGTGTCCAGAGGAGGGCAACCAAAATGGTCAAAGGCCTGGAAACGATGCCTTATGAGGAACGGCTAAGAGAGCTGGGCATGTTTAGCCTGGAGAAGAGGAGGTTAAGGGGTGATATGATAGCCATGTTCAAATATATAAAAGGATGTCACATAGAGGAGGGAGAAAGGTTGTTTTCTGCTGCTCCAGAGAAGCGGACACGGAGCAATGGATCCAAACTACAAGAAAGAAGATTCCACCTAAACATTAGGAAGAACTTCCTGACAGTAAGAGCTGTTCGACAGTGGAATTTGCTGCCAAGGAGTGTGGTGGAGTCTCCTTCTTTGGAGGTCTTTAAGCAGAGGCTTGACAACCATATGTCAGGAGTGCTCTGATGGTGTTTCCTGCTTGGCAGGGGGTTGGACTCGATGGCCCTTGTGGTCTCTTCCAACTCTATGATTCTATGATTCTATGATTCTATGATCTTTCCAGCACCTATTGGTGCCAGCAGTCTATATTGGACTTGAAATGGTTTTTATATATCTTTTTGCCGTCATATCACTTTAGGATGTTTTATGGGAAGTGATTGAAATAAACAATAAACAATAATAAAGGCAAGCCGCATGAACAGCAGATCCACTCCCTCACAACAAATCTCTGGGGAAAAGGGCATCTTGTCCCCACGGCTTTAGTTTCAATGTCTCTCTCTCCTCCCTGCAGCTTGTACTGCTTCTTCTTCTCCTCTCCCCCCCCCCTTCCCTCACACACAGAGAGACTTGTTCACCAGCACCCACCCCTTAGCTTGGGAGGGAAAGGGTGCATCTCCTTTCCCCAAGCTCCACTGAGGTGTTCTTCCCAAGCCTTCCAGAGAGACCACTGCATTAATATAACATCTTCTGCCAATTAGTTCTCATAAAATAATCACTCCTTGGACATCCTGGACCATTAAGAAATATGTTCTTTTGTTGATTCCCAGACTGGGACCAGGCCTTGCTTTAAGCTGAACCTGTGGTAATAGTACCACCCACAATATTCTCACAACTCTAATCTCATAACAGTAGAAAACATGAGTATCCCTTACATTTTTCTTCTTCTCACTGGATCCTCCACGAGTCCCAAGCAGCACCGTTAATCTCACCAATTGTTTTATGGCTTCTGGAGAACTTCGCATGCTTCCAGTACTACAACTGCACTGAAACCAAGGTCCATGGGTGTGTACAAACGTACATAAAAAGCAGGATTTGAGGTTATTATCCCGCCTGTTGACAAAGCCCAGCTTCTTCCAGTTTCTGACTCACATGCTTCCCAACAATTCCACCACAGATTCAGTCACCATTTTACCTCCCATTCAGGTTTCAAGGTGGGCTTTCTGCATTTTTAAAATAAAAGTGCTTCTTGTATAGCTGAGCAACGAAAAACTCATCTGAGACTCATTTTTGAAAACGTACAAAACTACCAGAATCGTGGAGGGATTGATTATGCCAGAAAGAAGCTGCCCATCTGAGCTGTGCATAACTGACTCCTGCTGTAAACCGGCATATCTTGTTTTCCCCAGCCTCATTTGTAGAGAGGAAACTAATACCTAGAGAAAATATTTATTTCTAGACACCTGAGAAAAATACTTCTTCAATGGCCAACTTAATCCTTTGATTTGCTTACAAATGTTATTACATCTCAAACGAGAAGGGGAAATCCCCACCCCACCCAAACTTTCTTCTCATGCAACTGATTTAATTGTAAAGGAGTGGTTTTTTGGACTTTGCAACTTTTTCATGGTACAAAGATAGCGCTTTGCACATAATCTCCTTTTGAAAGGCATGTGGGACGAAAAGACAAAATCAGGAAAATATACTGAAAAACAGAAAGATATCATTGCTCTCTCTACTTCCCTAAAAGAAGATAAATTTTAAACAACAGTAGACAAAAAGAAAAACCACAGGATTGATTCCAATGTAGCGCTACATGAATAATCCTTCAGCGCAAGGACTTTACCTCTTCTCTGCTCACATGGCCTATCAATTTGTTCTAGGAGTCCGTCTCCCCCCCCCCGAATCCTCTGGAGAACATTTGGGGAGAGTGTGAGGTGTGGAGATAAGAGAAAGTCCTGTTGCACAAGCAGAAATACTTGCATTGACACCCACACACTAACTAAAGTTGTGATTGTGGAAAGGGGAAAGGAATGATTTCTCCTGTCCGGATGTTCAGAACGCAGTGCTTCTCAACCAGTCGATGCTCAAATGAGACACCCCTTAGCGTCTGTTTGCAACAGCTTAATTCATTCCTGGATGTTGACAGACAGTGCAACACACTGGAAGCCAGAACAGGCCCATTGGCAGAACAACTCTGTGTTACAAAGATGTCTGAAAACGAGACATGAAGGCTGGCAACATCAACTCCGCCATGTGGAAATCCCTTGCATGCAACTGCAGTTCCTGGAGACAGACAGTCAGTTGGTGCATCTGCAGCAGTGACCAGAGAAAGAATGGCTGCCGGGAGGAGCACAGAGAGAAGAAACGCCACGGAGAGAAGCACAACTGGATGCCTTCATCTGCCTCACCTGCAATAAAACATGTCTCTCCTGTATCAGTCATTACAGCCACAGTGGGCGCTACAACTCTTCAACAGTTTGACTTCACCCCCAAAGGCACACTCCTCCATTGTCTCCTGAGATGGATGGATGGCAACAGAACCTCAGTATTGTCTGTCCTAACTAGCAGCAGCCCTCCAGTTTTTCACATAGGGCTTTCTTCCAGCCCTACCTGGAGATATTGGGGGTCTGGGGATACAAGGGAGTTTGGGACCTTCTGCATGCAAAGCAGGTGTTTTACCACTGAGGTACGGCTCTTCTCTTGAACAGCATTGGTCCACCAAGAACAATGCACTGACTAGCAGCTATACTCCAGGATTTCAGACAGGGGACTCTCCCAGCCCAACCAGGAGATGCTGTGGATTGGGACTGTCTGCATTCAAAGGTTCTCTCTCCAATGTAGCACTAAATAACCCAGCCTGTCCGCACAAGGATTTATGCTTGAGATAGCTCAGTTGGTAGAGCACGAGACTGTTAATATCAGGGTTGTGGGGGTTCAAGCCCAATGTTAGGCAAAGGTTTCCTGCATTGCTGGGTGTTGGGCTAGATGATCCTTGTGGCCCCTTCCAACCCTACAATTCTATTAAAGATGCTGACCTTTAAAGCCCAAAACGGCCTCAGCCCAGTATACCTGAAGGAGCGTCTCCACCCCCATCACTCAGTCCAGACACTGAGGTCCAGCCCTGAGGGCCGTCTGACAGTTCCCTCAATGTAGAAGCCAAGTTACAGGAAACCAGGCAGAGGGCCTTCTCGGTAGTGGCACCCGCCCTGTGGAACGCCCTCCCATCAGATGTCAAGGAAATAAACAATTATCTGAATTTCAGGAGACATCTGAAGGCAGCCCTGTTCAAGGAAGCTTTTAATGCTTAATAGGTTATTGTATTTTAATATTCTGTTGGAAGCCGCCCAGAGTGGCTGGGGAAACCCAGCCAGATGGGCGGGGTATAAATAAATTTTTATTTTTATTATTCCTCACTCTCCTTCCCTTGAGCATGCCCCACACTGTCCTGAAATCTGTTCCAGTGGGTTGGGGGAAACCCTAAGAAATGGGGGTGGGTGGAGTCCCATTGTGCAAGCATAAATTCTTGTGCTGATGGGATGGTTACTACATTGCATAGATTCCCGACTATTTAACCCAGGAATGGGAAACCGTTTTCTGTTGAAGTCTGCATTCCCTGAGGGATAATCTGTTGTGGGCTGCTGCTGAAGGCAGGAAGGGCATCCCTTTTATCTTTTTCTTTCTGCCTTTCTCTTTTCTTACTCACTTTCTGCCAACCCTTTCTTCCGACTTTCCCCTCCTTAGCGTGCACATAAAATTGGGCCAAGGGCCAGTTTGCTCACTCCCAATTTATCGTAACAACTCACCATACTCATAAAGTCATGTTGACTAGTTAGTCTGGCCTGCTTTGAACACAAGATCCTGCTAACTGGCAGTTGCAAATTGTACAGACAGTGACATAATTAAGACGCTCATAAAAGTCAAGACACGTATTCACATTATCTTCGTATTTCATAATACAGTGGTACCTCGGGGTAAGAACTTAATTCGTTCCAGAGGTCCGTTCTTAACCTGAAACTGTTCTTAACCTGAAGCACCACTTTAGCTAATGGGGCCTCCTGCTGCCGCTGCGCTGCCACCGCACGATTTCTTTTCTCATCCTGAAACAAAGTTCTTAACCCAAGGTACTATTTCTGGGTTAGCGGAGTCTGTAACCTGAAGCGTCTGTAACCTGAGGTACCACTGTATGAGCCAAAAAATGTTCGGTGGCTAGAATCAGCTGCAGGAAGTTTTCAGCTGGATGGTAGGATTCCATTCTCTTTCTCATCTGTTTCAATAATCCTTTAAACGGTGCAAATGTAGTGTTTGCTTTAGAGGTGGAACTATTTAACCATTTAAGCAGCATCTTTATTATATCAGGAAGGAAATGCGTTAAAATCCAATTCTTAAAAAAAACAAATAAGTTGTTCTGCTCTCACGCACTGACATAGGGTTCATCTGCACTTCCGCTTGTCCTACTGCTTTCCCCTAGGAAAGCCCACTCTTTCCTGCTGTAAAGAGGGTTTATCACAGGTTGCTGTTTGCTCCGATTCAGCAGTAAAGGGCAGGTTTTCCTGGGGAAAGTGGTGGGACAAACTGAGAACTGCTCTGACCCCTGCCTAGAAAACACGGTATAAGTGGAAAACGTCTTGGACCTAGGGGCATAGCTAGCTGCTCCAGCACCCGGAGCAGCGGGGGCAGAGCAAGTTGCCTACGGGGGCACCATGGCGATCCGTGCACAGGGACCCCACAGTGATCTGCACAGGAGGGCAGCACGGTGAACTGCTCCTGGCGGACGCAAGCTCCACGCTGCCATTTCAGGATGCGTGGCTTGGGCACACTGCAGGCCTGGCCCCGCGGTAAGTGCCACCCCCCATGGTGTGCCATTTTGTCACCCCCCTCAAGGATGATACCTGGGGCGGACTGCACCCCCCTTCCTACACCCCTGCTTGGCCCCATGCTTTCTAGACATACAAAGCATAGATAAGCACATATAAACATAGAAATATATAGTTGGAAGGGCTCCGGAGGGTTGCGCGGAGCTGCGCGGAGTCTGGGAGTGCAGGCAGCTCCGCGCAACCCTCAGGAGCCCGGCGCGGCTTCGCCCAGGCTCCCGAGGGTTGCGCAGAGCTTCCTGAAGCCTGGAGAGTGAGAGAGGTCGGTGCGCACTGACCCCCTCGCTCTCCAGGCTTCAGCGAAAGCCTGCGTTCGCCCCATAGGACGCACACACATTTCCCCTTCATTTTTGGAGGGGGAAAAGTGCGTCTTATAGGGCGAAAAATACGGTATGTGTAATGTCTCTCTCTCTCGTATTTTTACCATGTAACATTTTTACAAATCAGTTTCATTTGTTGAGACATTAGGAAGAAAAGGGGGAAGAGGTGGAAGGGGGAAAGATGGGTGGGGGTGGGTGGTGATGTTTCTATTTTACTTAATATATGTAGGGTTTGGTGTCAGCGTTGCTTGTGCAGGTTCTCTGCTGTTCACTTGTGTTCCTTTGGTGGTGAGAGAGGTTGAGGTTGGCCTAGGGTGTGGCTGTTCATTTGTGGTTGGCTGTGGTGGTCTTTGTTTTCCTGTGTGAGTGGGGGTGGGTGGGTGTTTTGGATCAGGTTAGCCATATTGATTTGTATGCTGTTGGTGGATTTTTGTCATTGTCTTGTTGCATTTTGTTCGTTTTTTAACCTTTTACAATCAAGTGGTATCTAAATTTTATGGAGATATAGATAGAGATAGAGATAGAGATAGAGATAGAGATAGAGATAGAGATAGATGATATATAGATACAGATACAGATACAGATATAGATAGATATAGATATAGATATAGATATAGATATAGATATAGATATAGATATAGATATAGATATAGATGATATAGATATAGATATGAAAAGCTGCTTCCTTTGGGAAGATCAGCTGCATGCAGGAGTCTTAAAGGAAAAGTGCTCTTTGAATAGTGAGCATATTTCACAAGCATCGGTAGGTTCAAGAGAAGCCGCTTTTGCAGCAGATCTGCAAAAGGAGGGTGGGGAGTGGGCACTGGTTTATCAGACTCTCTGTGAAAGGGGCTTCTCTTGAACACAGAATGGTTGTAAAATACCAGCATCTCACTCTCCACCTGCCACATAGGGAAGGGAGAGCCACCTTGCGAGCCCTGAACATACAGCCAGCAATGCCATTCTTTACAGGTAGGTAGCTGTGTTGGTCTGCTGTAGTCGAAACAAAATAAAAAAAATCCTTCTAGGAGCACCTTGGAGACCAACTAAGTTTGTTATTGGTATGAGAAAGCTCATACAAAATTAAAAGACGCCTGCTTCTTGGCAGAAAAGCAATGACAAACCTAGACAGCATCTTAAAACGCAGAGACATCACCTTGCCAACAAAGGTCTGTATAGTAAAAGCTATGGTTTTCCCAGTAGTGATGTATGGAAGTGAGAGCTGGACCATAAAGAAAGCTGATCGCCGAAGAATTGATGCTTTTGAATTATGGTGCTGGAGGAGACTCTTGAGAGTCCCATGGACTGCAAGAAGATCAAATGCATCCATTCTTAAGGAAATTAGCCCTGAGTGCTCACTGGAAGGACAGATCGTGAAGCTGAGGCTCCAATACTTTGGCCACCTCATGAGAAGAGAAGACTCTGAGGCTGAGGCTCCAATACTTTGGCCACCTCATGAGAAGAGAAGACTCCCTGGAAAGATTCCCAACCCTGATGTTGGGAAAGATTGAGGGCACAAGGAGAAGGGGACGACAGAGGACGAGATGGTGGGATAGTGTTCTCGAAGCTACCAGCATGAGTCTGACCAAATTGTGGGAGGCAGTGGAAGACAGGAGTGCCTGGCGTGCTCTGGTCCATGGGGTCACGAAGAGTCGGACACGACTAAACAACTAAACAACAACAACAAGGTCTCCTGAGAGGATTTTTTTTATTTTGCAGTATGTTGTTGAGAATTATGGTATGCATAACTAAACTTTCTTTGCAGAGCAGACACATGACTATGAGAAGCAAGTTCTTTATTGCCTTGAGGATGGAGGAAGGAGGAAGCTGGGATATTACCACCCTCATTATGTTCAAGAGAAACTGCTTTCCCAGCAGATCCAAGCGGTGAACCAAGCACAATACCAGCAGCACAGAAGAGGAGGCAGGAAGCTTTCAGAAAGCTCTTGCCAGACATGTTTGAACTGAGTCAGATTTTACATCCCCTTTCTCACCTGCTGCCTTGGCTGTGCAAGCACAAAACCAAGGCAGAATTTAACCAAATCCTCCTACCCTGCAGCTCACTTCCTCAGTAATGGCAGCTGGGTGGCTGGGTGTGGTTAAAGATAAATGGCCTTGCAGGTCAAATTGGAACTCTTGGCGTGCCAAAATTGGCCTGAGGTTCCCCATCCCGATGTAGAGGGTGATATAAGAAAAATTTGGGGTTAGTTTTTACAACCCAACTCCCAAACAAGGGACTCAGTATCCCCCTAAGTTCATTATCAGTCAGAGAAGAATGAGTGGAAGCTGGAACCAATGGGAGAAAGTAAGGCAGTTTCCCCCAGCACACACACTTTGCAAGGAGGTGAGGGGACCCAGAACAAACGGGTGTAACAACTTTTTTTTTTTAAATGATATTTATTAAAGTTTCCGATAAAAAAAAGGACACATCAGTAAAAAAGAATTAAAAGTAAAAAAGAAAAATACACAATACAAAAATACACAATACAAAATACAAAAAAAAAAGAAAGAAAGAGAAAACAGTTAAAAACAATACCACCTTTTCATCACCACTTTTAAATTTACTTAATTTCTGGACCTCCTCATACCTCCCTCTTTTGTATTCCAGTTCAATTTGTTTGCCCAGCAATTTCTTTCCCTCTTTTCTAATCCCAATCCTTAATCTTAATATAATATAACATTAAATTTTTACCTATTAAAAGCCAATTTTCCATTTCTTTTAACTTTTTTAATCCTAATCCTTAATCTTGATCTATATATAACTTTAAAGCCTGTACAGCTAGAAACCACTTAATTTCAATCCAACATCACTCTAACATTCTTTAATTTTGCAATGTTTCTGTAGATAATCTTTAAATTTCTTCCAATCTTCTTCCACCGACTCTTCTCCCTGGTCACGGATTCTACCAGTCATTTCCGCCAGTTCCATATAGTCCATCAGTTTCATCTGCCATTCCTCCAGTGTGGGTAGCTCTTGTGTCTTCCAATACTTTGCGATGAGTATTCTTGCTGCTGTTGTTGCGTACATAAAGAAAGTTCTATCCTTTTTTAACACCGATTGGCCGACTATGCCCAGGAGAAAGGCCTCTGGTTTCTTCAAGAAGGTATATTTAAATACCTTTTTAGTTCATTATATATCATTTCCCAGAAAGCCTTAATCTTTGGGCACGTCCACCAAAGGTGAAAAAATGTGCCTTCAGTTTCTTTACATTTCCAACATTTATTATCGGGCAAATGGTAGATTTTTGCAAGCTTGACTGGGGTTATGTACCACCTGTATATCATTTTCATAATATTCTCTCTTAAGGCATTACATGCCGTAAATTTCATACCTGTGGTCCATAACTGCTCCCAGTCAGCGAACATAATGTTGTGTCCAACGTCTTGTGCCCATTTAATCATAACAGATTTCACCGTTTCATCCTGAGTGTTCCATTTCAACAGCAAGTTATACATCTTTGACAAATTCTTAGTTTTGGGTTCTAACAGTTCAGTTTCTAATTTTGATTTTTCCACCTGGAAGCCAATTTTCTTGTCCAAATTAAATGCCTCCATTATCTGAAAATAATGAAGCCAGTCTCGCACTTTGTTTTTTAATTTTTCAAAACTCTGCAATTTCAGTCTATCTCCATCTTGTTCCAAAATTTCCCAATATTTCGGCCATTTGACCTCCATATTGAGTTTTTTCAAGGCTTTCGCTTCCATTGGTGACAGCCACCTTGGAGTTTTGTTTTCTAATAAATCCTTGTATCCTATCCAAACATTAAACAATACTTTCCTGACAATGTGATTTTTAAATGCTTTATGTGCTTTGACCTTATCATACCACAGATATGCATGCCATCCAAATACATTGTTGAAACCTTCTAGATCCAAAATATCAGTGTTTTCAAGAAGCAGCCATTCTTTCAGCCAGCAAAAAGCTGCTGATTCATAATAAAGTTTAAGGTCTGGCAGGACAAATCCACCTCTTTCCTTTGCATCCGTTAGTATTTTAAATTTTATTCTGGGCTTCTTGCCCTGCCAGACAGATCTAGAAATATCTTTCTGCCACCTCTTGAAACAATCCATTTTGTCCACAATTTGCAAAGTTTGAAACAAAAACAACCTAGGCAATACATTCATTTTTATCGTAGCAATACGGCCCAGCAGTGAAAGCTTCAAATTTGACCAAATTTCTAAATCTTTTTTCACTTCAGCCCAACATTTTTCATAATTATCTTTAAATAAATTCCCATTTTTGCTGTCATGTTGATCCCCAGGTATTTAACTTTCTTAACCACTGTTAAACCTGTCACATTCTGAAACCTCTCTCTCTCCATTGGTGTTAGATTTTTCTCTAAAACCTTAGTTTTTAACTTGTTCAATTTAAATCCTGCAACTTGACCAAATTCTTGAATCAATTCTAAAACCCTTTTAGTACTAGATTCTGGCTCCTGTAACGTCAATACTAAATCATCTGCAAATGCTCTCAATTTGTACTGTTTAGCTCCGACCGGGTGTAACAACTTTTAAAGACTTTGGAAATTGCTCAGCTCCTTAGCCAAAGACCGCCCCAAAGCATCATGCAAGCACCATAGAAGGAGGCAGACTACAACAGAAAACTGAGAGTGTGACTTGTCTCCTGTATGTCAAGATATCCAATAATGCTTGCTGATTGCCTTTTCCTGGCCTTTATTTAGGAATGGTAAATACCTTGGTTCTTGAATCCATTGTCACAGGTCTACCCCATTCATACAAAGATGTTCTTTTGACAGAACCACTCACCTTCCCAGGGAGGCGGAGTTGCAGGCAGGCCACGAGCACTCCCCATGTACGGGGGGGTGGCGCCACGACCCGCATCACTGGGAGTCCCGGCTGTGTCACACCCCATGGCCAACCAATCCGGTTGACTGGGGGCGTGGCTTACCTGATTGAAACCTCCATGCGGCCGGGGTCTCATTCACCTTATCTCCTGCGTCGGACCTCCCGCCCTATTTTATGCGTTCGCTATCTTGGCCTTACTATGGACTACAGTTAGTCACCTGTTGAGGGGGCCAAGTAGGAATTTTTCACTTGGCAAATTGGCACCAGCCATGTGGTTTTCACCTGCCTTGTAGCAATCGTCACAACTTTGTAAGGTTTGAATTTCTTGCTTTATTATCCATAATTACATCTATACATCAAAGACATATCTTCCTTATTTTACATAAATCAATTTTGTCAAAACAAAAATCCAACAAAAGAATGTAAGTCTTCCTACAATAATTTTGTACATAAACTTGACTTCCCGTCCTCCCCCCCCCCAAAAAATCTACGTTAATAAACCTATTGTCTCAACAAGAAAACACAATGGAAAAACAACAACAGGCATATAAAAGTTATGACGCTGGAAGATGAGCCCCTCAGGTGGGAAGGTGTTCAACATGCTACTGAGGAAGAGCGGAGGACAAGTACAAGTAGATTCAGAGCTGATGAAGCGGCTGGGCCAAAGCCGAAAGGTCGCTCAGTTGCGGATGTAATGATCAGAAAGTTTAACTGAGGCAGACCACACAATTCCTACGTTCTCACATCTCAATGGAACCTGAGGGCAGTATATAAATTTTATGAAACCAACCAACCAACCATAACCCCATTCCTGATATCATCCCTTGGCAACGTTATCTTCACACCAGTAACAATGGAATTACATTAAAGAGAGTTACTGGAAGCAATTCAGTAATAATTACAGAGGAAATTATGACTTCTTTTACCAGAGGATATTTGCATAATGCTTGCAGGCATTTGTTGTACAGGATGGGGTGGGGAGACCAAGGAGTCAGCAGAGGAATTGTGGTATGAACCTCAGTAGGAATTATTGGGTAGGATGTGACTACACAGGTAACAGGCCGTGAGACATCAATACTTGGCCATACAGGTTTAGGACATGTAATACATCAAAATGTTGGACTTAACTTTCATGATCTACAGCAGGAGTGATGAACATAGGAAGATGCCTTATACAGAGTCAGGCCATTGGCGCATTTTCCACAGACTTGCAGTAGATTTCTACAGTTTCCAAAAAAAAAAAAAAAAGCCTTTCCCCACCTTACCTGGAGATGCCACAGATTGAAACTGGAATATTTTGTATGCAAAGCAAATGCTCTACCACTGGGTTACACCCTTGGATGTCCAGGGAGCTCAGCTGGTAGAGCAGGAGACTCGCAGCCTCAGGGTCATGGGTTCAAGCCCCACATTGGGCAAGTTTCCTGCACTGCAGGGGGTTGGACTAGATGACCCTTAGGGTCCCTTCCAACTCTTCAATTCTATTATTTTACCACTGAGCTATGCCTCTCCCAGGGCCCTTCAGATGTTGCTGGACTCCTACTCCAATCAGCCCCCATCAGCATGACCAATGGTCAGGGATGAGCCACACTATCTTCCAAATTTTACCACAGCGCCCCTCTTCAGTCTAAGAAATGAGCAGTTCAAACTTTAGTTTCTAAAAATTGGGTGGGTGAGGGCACACACAAAGAAATTAATCAGTTAAGGGGGCTTTTCCTCTCTGGCATGGTGCCCAGACAATAAAGGGGAGGGATACAACGTTCTCCAGTGTCCATAAAGGGAGGAAAAACCCAATTGCTCTAGGGGACCTTAGCTGTGCCATTCAGCACTGAAGAGAAGGGGCCTCCCTTCTTGTGACTAGAATAATGGAGAACAAAGAAAATGCCAGCACTGCTTTCTAAGTTGCCTTTCTCGAGATAGTAAAAACAGTGTTTAAATGTTTGAGCAATTCCACCCCTAAAACACACAACCATCGCAAATAATTAAAGTACGTATATGTACAATTTCCTAAAGAACTCAGTTTTATGAAGGGTGGTTTCCAAGGAGCATATCATTTCAGCACCAGGATTTCTGCTTGTGCAGTGGAATTTGCCCTCCTCTCATGGGCCCCCTAGATAAGTTCTAGGGATTCCTGCAACTTTCCAGAGCAAATCTGGGGAGGGCACGAGGCACATGGAGGGGTAAGTTTAACTGCGCAAGTATAAGTCCTTGCATTGACAGAACACATTGGTTGAGTCCTGCCCTATGTCCTTGGTAGTTTCACCCTGGTGCCCATCAGAAGACCAGCCACAATGATCCTCCTCTTAATTCTTCTTCTCTTACAGTTGTAAATAGTCCAGGAAGCATATCTGCTTACACAGAGCTGAAGATCCCCAAGCAAGGACCTGAACTTGCATAACTACCACGTCCCAGGTATCAGGCCACTACAATCCTATCTACCGGATAAAGACAATCACTGCTCTTCAAGGAGCCATTAGACTGCTTTACAGCAGATTCTTAGAGGCCTGCACATTGACACAATTAGCAATTTAATGCTCTGGGGCAGAAGTGCAAGCAAGCAAATCTGTGCAGGCACTTGCTTTTTCATTTGAGCATGACGTGTGTATGGTATATAAATTGAGCAATTTCCAGTTCATTTCAAGGAAATGGCGGGTGTGTGGTTGTTGTTTTTTGCCTAATACTTCTGAATAAAGTGTCCAATAAGAGATAGTTTGCCTGTGAGGTGTTCAAGACATGGTCTCTGCTCCCTGTGTGGGTCCCTTCCACCTGGCCTGGAAGGACAGGCCCTCCGACTGACGGCAGCTACCAAGGCTGCTGCTGAAAGCCTCTATATGACAATAATCCCATTTGAAGTGTGTTATGAGAAGCTGCAGTAGAGAGTGACACTAATATGCCTATTTTTCACAGGCCCAGTATAATGCTGCTGCTGCTTTGCTAGGACTTTGAATTTAACTTGTTTTACTTGTTGCATTGATATTTTTTTATCAAGTGATTGTAAGGTACTTGCCTTAGCTGTTCTCTACAACTTGTTTCTACACACTGGCATGCCACAACATGCTTGTTTGTGGTAAGCCAGTTTCCTTCTGACCATGGCTGTGACAAGTGAACCATTAGCTATCCTGAAAGATTTTTACAAGATACATTTTTTTAAAATGAACGAATGAACACCACAGCTTACAAGGCCAGAATTCAGAGAGAAATGTAAGGCGCATCCAGGGATTTACTTTAACTACATTTTAATCTTGCCCTTCCTTCAAAAGGAATTGCATCTGTTTGTGCTTCTGAAACAGAACAGAACTCCAAGCAAGCCTTTCCATCTAATCTTAACTGCTCTCTGTCAAAATAACCTCAGACGTAGTACAATGATTTATTTTATACTCAACCGGAGACAAAGCTCAAAGTGGATTTGAAAAGCTTTGCGGTAACTATATGACGAGCAGTCTGGACTCCTGAGTTGTGTTGCTCAAGGTCTGCCGAGCACCTTACAGCAAAGGATGAAACAAGAGCAGCTTTATTAAAACCAACCAAAGTTTATTTATAGAAGTCTATACATTTGTAACGAATGCTGCCGAGACAATGAATTAAAGCAAATAAACCCATCCCTCCCAATGAGCCTGTGTTGTCGCCACTCACTGTCACATGCACTTAAAAGAGGAGAAAACATTACACCTTCATACACAATTAGTTCCATAGCTATCCCAGAAAAAATATTACTCCCTCAATGCATTATTCTCAAGTGAAAAAAACACAAGGTGACAAGGAATTGTCCATTACCTGTGTGAAAGGAGAACCTCTTCTAAGTTTGGTAAGGAGGGGATACATGAGGATGGCGACCTCATTCACTTGTGTCCTAAAAGTTCCACAGTGTTTTATTTGATCAACTCCTGTAACCCAATTGGAAAGGATAAACTGATGCATTATTTACAACTTAGGGAGGCCTTCCGTACTCTGATTATGAAGCCCAACGTCAGGAAGTGCATTTCGGCTGCAGACTGCCATGATAATTAGGAGGGCTCATAAGAACATTAGTTTAACATTTGCCGGCTCTTTCCTTGCTCCTATGCCATAGCTTTGCAAATATTGGTGGGCAATCAGAACTCTGTTAAAAAGAGTTTTGGACTTACTATCTCTCTATATCAGAAATGTTGGTATCAGGGAGACTGGCTACTACGGATAATGTTGCTGACAAAGAAATCCGAGTGATAGAGATGCATATCTACATAGCATATCATGATGGCTCCCCAAACATTGGCAGATTCTAGAAATCCACTTAAAAAAAAAAAGTTAGAAGCATGTATGTCAATAAAAGAGTCCACAAGCGCTTGAGAAAAGTAGCTAGAAAAAAGGCAGAAAAACAGAATGATTACATATTTACACAATAGTCTGCGAAGCTATGGACTATGTAGTAAATAAAGTCACTAAGTTTACACAACTTGACGAGAACCACTTCGGGAGGAGGACTGTGTGTTCCTCCCCTTCATTTCATCAGGTTTTACACAGGTGTGTGTCTCCCTAATCTTAAATAAGGAATCGAAGAAGAAATAGATTAAAGCATCAGTAAGGATTCCCCAGATCACAGCCACAAGACTCAAACTTCTATTCTGATGTGAGCAAACATTTTCTGGGCCTGCTTAAGAATGCTTCACGTGTGTTCGGATTTCTCCTTTTAATCCAGCTTCAGGAAAGTATCCTTATTTAGGGCACTTTTCCAGCACTGGCACTGGCATGATCCGACAGATCACTAACGTTCATCAATGTATGCACAGTCTTAGTTCAGTATAATCCATGGTAGTTCATTTTGAAGAGCTCTTTGATAAAATGTCATTTATTTACACTTCGATCTTTACACCTGAGTGATTATCAAGCAGTCATCTTTTTCCTATTCAGACATTCCATACATACAATCCTTGTGCTGGAGTTCAGCTGCACACGTTGTACCAGTTACATATAGGTCAAATTAACTGCCCTCTTATATTTTCAATTTTTTACTGTACGCTTTCCATTCTGCGGAACAAGATTAAAATAAAAAATAAAATAAAAACGGGAGGCAAATGAAAAAATAATAATTCTGGCTATAAAAGGCAATTTGGTAAGGGTGCAAAATGAAAGATCAAAAGGTTACATGGTTTGTTGTGGGATTTTTGGGGTGGGTGGGGAAGAGATCCAAGTAGCAGCCAGGAACAATAAAACTGCCCCACCTACCTGTAGCAGGAAAGTCAAGGGCACATGTACTACTGCTTTACAAAGACATTGACTGAGGGGAAGATGAGGGAAGGGGTTTTTCTAAGTCTGTGTGAAGGAACAGTGTGAAGTTACACAGCTATTGTCAGCCAGGCTCCCTGTTTGTAAAAAATAATAAAATAATAAAATAAAATCACATTTATTAAATTGCCCCTGCTGTTTTGAATGCTCAAATATAGCTGGTAAAAATTCAAGACAGATTTAAAGAACCATGACAGATACAAATTTACCGCAGGTGAAAATCGATTTTTAAAAAAACTATCTGGAAAAAATTCACACAACCCACCCACCCCCCACAAAAATGTACACTTTCAACCTAAACCAGTTCGTAAAATATACCCTTCTCCACAGCTAGGAGAAAGGGGAGAGAAGACGAGGAAAAAAGTGCAGGCGACCTTCACAAGAGGTCTTGTGCCACGGTTTAATTTTCCTTGCTTGTGGTGGTTGAGACAGCCAAGTGCTAACACTGCTTCTGCCACCAACAGATTCCTGCAGAAATCCAGACTCCAGGTTAACACTGAATACATACAGCCAACTCCAAATAGCTGTATTAACAAACAAAACAAAACTAAAAATAGCATGGATCCATATTTGTGGGTGGCAGAAAAGGGCAAGAAATGGAGGTCTATACAGTAAAGAGTCAATGATTTATATTACAGATGGCTGGCAAATTTTAAAGAGTCTCTTCCCAGCTCTGTTGCTGCTCCAACCCCGAAGGGCAAACTGAAGAGGGAGGGAAGAAAATAAAGGGCGGGATATCATGTAGCATGCAGGATCAGAAGCAGCAGAGAGTGGGGTTTGCTCAAATAAGCCCCCGCCTTTTCTTGTAGTCCTCCAGGTTCAGTGATCGCCGGGGGGCGCCATCTTTTGCTGGGGGAGCCTTGGAGGTGATAGCCAGTGTTTTGGACTCTGTTGGGAAATAAGGCACACATACTAGGTGTGTAACTCAGCAAGGTGCATGGCTCTCTTCAAACAATCAGGCTCAAGGGAGGGCATTAACTCTGCAAGCTTTCTGCAGGGGATAGCCATGATTATTAATGTGGTGCCAGCAGTGTAACATAAGTAAAAAAAAAAAAGAGTTCTGCCTGCCCCCGAGACACTGAGCAGAAGACAGACCTAAGAAACTTCCAGTTCCTACAGTACAGCAGACCCCTCCTCAGATGCAGTGGCAAAGGAAAGCAGTAAATCCAGCAGGATCTATGAGGGCAGTGGTGACACCAAACCAATGGTGGCTTCTCTCAATTTTAAACCAGCTCCTCAGTCTAAATAGAAGCTGCACTTTTTGAAGTTTCTGGTTCTTTAAGCTACATTAACCAGAAAAAGAACAGCTCTACTAACAGAAGTTCATTTTTTCAAAGGTATGGCTGCTCGTAGTTTCTGCCGGGATGCACAAAATTTGTGTATTTTCCATTCGCATGCTTTGGATTTTTTAAAAACCACCCGGCTATTTTTTTTAATTTTTTTTTTGGCAAGGTGGCACCTAAAACTCTTTTCCTTTTCTACCACCTTTACCTTTCATTCCCTGAGGGACAGGCACAACCTACCTGAGCTGGGAACCTGGAGATCAATCTTCACATCAAAATCATGCACTTTGAAGAGATCCTCTGAGAGGTCACTGGCAGTTTTTGAATTCATATCTTTGTCTTTTCCCTGACTCTGAAACAAGAGACATCATTTAATATCAAGTAATACGGAAGGTTACCCAACCATGCTTTATTGGCTATAGTGTCTGAAAGGTTCCATTGTAGACCCCATTCTATTCTTAGACGCAGCTTGAGGCTTAAAATGTGACTATTTCACATGGTGGCAATTCCAAAGGTAAGGATTACATGATAGAAGCATATGCAACAGCAAAAAGTTGAGGGAACTTGCCTTGCTCATGTCCTTTGGAGCATCTGGCAATACACCTGATCCGTATTTTGCATTAAGTTGGGCAAGAATAGCAGCTTGGACAGCAGGATCTCTAGACTGTGACAAAGGAAGAAATTTAATGTCAGGTTGAACAATGGACTTGACCATTTATAGGTTAACATTTCTCTCTTCATACAGAAACAAGTATGTATATAAAGGGAGGAATTAAAGGTAATACTCTTCTGATCAGCACAAGCTTTTTAGCTTGTGGAATGGAATGGAACAAACCTCATTCCTCAACACTGTTATGGGGGATTTCCCCGACCTCCCAAAACCAATTTTAGGGGGTAGGGTGTGCACAGAGGGAGGGGGAAACCCCATTGTACAAGTGGAAGTCTCTGAGCGGGGCTTCCACTGAGAGGACTCAGTAGCTGAATCCCAACCCTTAATATATCCCGTGTACCCATATCCCACAACTCAATAAACGTATAGTTAGAAACATATACCCTATCTTTCCAAATGGTTTCAGAGATTTTCCATGCATGACAGAAATACTCTGCTTCAGCTATAAAAATGGGATTTGCACACCAATACAGCACTCTGCTGAAACAGGAAATGAATATACTGTTCTCCTGTGCAGTGGGCAATAGACTATAGTGCTGCCTTCTTCTAGATACATTTTCAGTGATCCACACCTTACGTTGCCGCATCTAGATTCTCTCTCTCTCTCTCTCTCTCTCCATACACCCCCCCCCCCATATGTGAATAGCTTGCTCTGCTCCCGATTGCTGTCAAATCTCTGCATTTTACTTACGTTGGAGACTATTGTGGGCTTACACTGCCGCCGAGTAAAGGGATCCATCTGTTGGTTTTTCATACTGTGGCTTTCAGCCTGCAGAGAGAAATATGAAATATGCAGTCCTGACTTGCCTTATACTTTCCCCAGTATATCTCCAAATGCAGCTCCTCGGAAACAAGGAGAGGGCTACTGTCCCTGTGTCCTGCTTTTGGGGAACCCACAGGCATGTTTTTGGCTGCTAGAAAACAGGATACTGGACTAGGTGGGCCTTTAGTCAGATCCAGCAGGGCTCCTCTTAGGTTCATAATGAAAACAATTTGTCCACCCCACAACTTATCAGAAAGCTAAAGTAGGACTGCAGGTGCCGATACTGCTTGAGCAATTCACAAATGGAATATTTAAGAACAATTGGAAGACACCTTCCATATGTAGGAGTCCCAAGTGAGTATGTTGGGAAAAACATTTTCTTCCTCATTTACCATATATGCAAGACAGGATTGGGAAGGGTGAGAAAACATGCCTATGGAGGGTGCGACTACAAACTAGAGTGCTAAACATTTCCCTTGTCTTCTATCAATAGGTTTTCCCCTACCCTAGGCTCTTAACAATCATAAAGCTTTCCAGGTTGAGACAGTTTCAAACCACAGTTATATAGTGGCACTAAAAGCCAATGGTCGCTGTAGCCCTTTCATCATCCCAGACAGGAAAATGTGTTTGACAGGGAAAGTCAGCCTCCAGCAAATGCTATTTTTCTCATGTTCCTGCTTTGATAAATGGACTGGACCTTTTCAGCAGGCAGGCTTTAAGTTACTTTATCACAACAGTGCCACTCAAGTATAGTTGCATGTTATTGCTTGATACTAAATGCTTGATACTAAAGGCTGTCCAGAAAATTATACGTCATCGTAAAAAGCAGCAGAGAGTTCAGAGAGCCACCTTTCCCATGACAATATATTTTGCCTTCTTTGCACTATCAACATCACTCACCACTAGAGCCTTTTCAGATTCCACAATGTTCCATTCTCGATTCCTCTGATTGATGTAACTGCAAAACGAAAGAAAAAGAAAAGGTGTATGTATTTCACTTACCTCATGTATTAGAAAGGAATTTTGAAATTCAGGATCTCAACAAGCTATTTTTCTAGAAGCCACTTTCTATTTCTTTTTGAAATGACTGAAATGAGAGATAAATTCTGAACCCTGAAAAGTAGCAGATTCTGTCCAGATGGAAAATTAACAAGATCACTCTGAAATAACAGCAGTGACCAATACTGGTCACAAAAGCAGTATTGCTGGTTTTCTGTTCCCATGTCTATTATTAAATATTAGGTACCAACCTGATGGCTGAAATATTTTTCGTTCGCTGGCGATCCAAGGCCTCTGCTCTCTCCTCTAACTCATTAAGCTGGTCTTGAATCTGTTTTGCTCTGTCCTGATCTCCCATGTCTTCTGCCATGGCCTTTAATAAAAATAATTATTTGTTAGGAATGAACCACTGTCGTAGCATCAGCTATGTGAATTGATTAAAAACCATGAGGTTATTATGTTGTTAGTTCAACTGGTTATGTGCTTTCTTTCTTTCTTAATAATATATTATACTTCAGGATCAACAGGGATCTGACTCAAGGTAAGAGAAGCAACAGTTAGTGCACTTATCAAATTTGAACAAGTTGTGTCAATCTTTACAAAGGATTGTCAGCAATAAAGGGGATACTGATTTCCCCCCCAAGGAAACAAGCTAAGCAATATTACTGAAATATATATTGAAAAGACCAGCACTTAAGGTGGCTTTAATCTTGCAAGAAATTATTTTAGGGGCCATTTCCCAGTGTCACCATATTTTACCTTCTCTTTTAGTAGCTGTGTTTTCTTCATGGCATAGTTTGGTGGTGCTTTCCGGAACCTTTCTTTCTCTTTTACAATCTACAAATGCACAAGGGGCGGGGGGGACATTATGAAAGGTGGGCTAACTGATGGTTAGTTATGAAAAAGCTGCTCTGGCTCACTCTATTCAAGCCCTGACAAGCCAGGCTACATCACTCACTTTGTGGCCTGATGAAATTTTTGTTTCTAGCCTGTATTTACATGGTACAAGAACAGTAAAGAAGCATTTTAAAATTTATTCCATCATGTTAACACACTGGCTGCATGTCCACTAGCCCACAATAATCTATGAAGAGTAACTGCAGTCTATCTTTGTTGTTACATGATTATGGGTGGTACCATATTTTTCGCTCTATAAGACGCACCTAGTTTTTGGAGGAGGAAAACAAGAAAACAAGTATTCTGAATCCCAGAAGCCAGAACAGCATGAGGGATCGCTGCTCAGCACTCCCTCTCGCTGTTCTAGCTTCTGGCAGCCTCTTCAGGGCAGCGGGATGAAGGCTCCCCCTGCCCAGAAGAGGCTGCGCGGGGCTAAGCCAGACGCTAGAACGGCAAGAGGGAGCGCTGCGCAGTGATCCCTCTTGCTGTTCTGGCTTCTGGGATAGCTGCGCAGCCTGCATTTGCTCCATAAGATGCACACACATTTCCCCTTACTTTTTAGGAGGGAAAAAGTGTGTCTTACAGAGCAAAAAATACAGTAAGTACTGCAGAGCCCAGCTAATTTCTCCTGTGGGCAGATGCTAAAAAACAACAACCCATCTCTCCTCCTCCCTTACAAACCTAGTCTTTAGTGCCTTACTGCTGTGATCTAACTTTTGCAAATCTGAAGTAAGTAGAGTAACTGTGATATGCCAACAACACTAAAATAGGATAAGAACCAGAGATAGGGAATCCATAGACCTCCAGACATTTTTGGGCTACAGCTCTCATCATCCCTGACCACTGGTGCTGCTGCTTTGGGCTGATGTGAGTCCAACAAAATCTGGGCGGCCACAGGTTTCCCATTCCCAATATAAAGAGTCTTTTCCAATACGATGTCTTTCCCAACACGAACAGGAAGTCTAACCCATCTTATCTTTACAGAACTAGAATCTGGCACCTGAGAACATCTAAGAGCTCACCTACCTTTCCATTGTGAACCTTCAATTGTATGGGTTCAGCTCAAAAGTACATTTTCTTCATTTACCTCCTCAATGTCCTGGTCATTGAATTTATAGTTGAGGGCTTCTTTGATAGACATGTCCTTCTTGTTTATCTCGTCTAGTGTTGGTAGCTGCATCCCAGCAGAAAACATCTAGATGTTAAAAAGAGAAATAGCGTCAAGAGTACTTCATTCACCATTCAACACTCCTGTTTGGAAAAATGGAAATACTTACAGCTTCCTTCCACTTCATGAACTCGCTCTCTGTGAATTCTTGATTGGAGACAAATTCTAAGCGGAACACACGCTGGTCACTGCCGTGCCTGCACAGAGAAGGAAAAAAGGAGCCATCATTCTACAGCACCTTCCCAAGGGCAGGGCAGCAGGAGACAGATATAAAGTGCATTTATAGCTGGCTACTAAGTATACCTTTGTATAGTGACTATGTTACGCCAACTCTATCTTTGCTACAGGAAGACACATTCTAAATTTGCTGGCAACGGTGAAGGGGGAAGTGTTGGTATGAATAACATAGCATACATACACTCAGTTTCACTCAAATGTTTGTTTGGACGCTCCATTTTTTTCATATCTCTAAGGAAAATATTGGGAAGGCCCGAAATCCAGCAGAAGGTCCTGATGGAGGAAGCAATTTTCACAAGATTTCCCTTTTGCTCCTCAAGCCACCTCCCACACTCTTTGAGGGTCCCTGAAGCCTCTGGAAAAGTATTTCAAAGAGCACAGGGGAAAGAAGGAATAGGCAAAAATTGCCTCCCCTCCAGTCCTTCAGTGGGAGCGTCCTGTAAATTCTGTTGCGCATGAGGAAGTCCTGGTGCAAATGGACCAACTTCGTTGGATAAACTCCTCTGTGCTCAATCCCCTGACAGCAATTTATCAGCTTCCTACTACTCAAGGATAGAAGTATTCTGGCATTCACCTCTCATATAGCACACTCTCAAAATGATGGAGTAGGTCTTACCTTAACTGCAACCCTTTGTTTGTCCTGGTACCTCCAAGCTGATAAACCTTTGCAGTTTCTACAACACCTGTTATTTCTGCCACCTATATAAATAAAGATAAAATGAAAAAGGATGAGTATTTCCATACATACTTTTTCTAACGGAGGGGGAAAGGAGTCAAGAAGAGGCAAACTTAAGAAGGAATGTCTAGATGGAGCTGGAACAAAATGCCATGCCTACTGGCACATCTGCAATGGTGTTCTTTGTTTCTGAAGCAATAAGGCCTTATCTCATAAACAAAATATAATGGCAACATTTAAATTACAATGGCTTGGATCAAGCATTGTTCCTAGTGGTGCGCGCATTCCCTTAGAACAGCGGTTCTCAACCTGTGGGTCCCCAGATGTTGTTGGACTACAACTCCCATCATCCCTGAGCTCTGGCCTTGCTAGCTAGGGAAGATGGGAGTTGTAGTTCAACAACATCTGGGGACCCACAGGTTGAGAAGGCAGCCTTAGAAGTTCTGCTCAGAAGATTCTCCCACCAATGGAACGGAGATGAGGACTTTTGCTATATCCCCCTTCCCTCAGCAGGTCAGAGGATGCTCCAGAGCACCAGGGGTATGCAAAAATACTCATTTCCATTGTTATCAGCTGCATTCCTCTGCGGAATCAATGGTAGATGGTTAAATTTGGACCCAACGTAACAGGTGGCAGCTAATTTCACAACAGTGGACTTCTATTTCTACAAGAGAAATTCCCCTTCCTCTTCTCACTGCTGTACTCCCTTGGTACCTCCCCTCATCTGCTCCGGAGGGTCTTCCAACTTTTTGAAACAGATTCTGGAGTGCACAGAGAGCTGCATCAGGGAGCGCATTCTGCCAGTGTTGTCCGTTCCACTGGTAAAACAAGGGATTCTATAGATCTTTGTATTTATTAAGAAAAAGAGGACAGCAAGGTGGGATAAGTAAAAGGGCTTCACAACTAATACTGTGTTGTGTAATTACCCGCTTTCCCATCACCATATATTTGTACAGTGTCTTGCTGCTTCTGGTGTCAACAGGAATTGGGTTTGATCAAGGATATACTCACTCTGTAAACTGGTTTGCTATTGTGGTTTCCTATGCCGATGCGCACAAAGCAGCCAGTGACCGTCTTGGCAAAGAAAGGCATGTGACACCATCGCTCTAGTTTGTGTCGAGATAATCGAACCCGATTCAGTTCTTCAGGCAAGGACACCGGCTGTGATTTAGGAGGGATTTCTTCTTTCCTAGCATGACACAGGAGGAAATATTCAAACAGAACGAGAGTGCCACACTCACGTAACAAAATCCACACATTAACACACTGGTTCTCAATTTTTATTTTTATTTTTGCAGTGGTGGAACCCTTCACTTTAGACAAAACTTCAGCAAAGCCCTTGCAGTAAAGTATTTTAACTGGTTCTTTAAAAATGGACGGGGGGGGGTTTATTTTTTGGAAAGCAAGCAAGTGAAAGCCATTTATCTCACCTTTATGCTAAAGGGTTGAAGGTGGTGCAAATGGTTCTCCTGTCTTCCATTTGATCCCCACAACGATCTTGTGAGGTAGATTGGGCTGACAGGTAGTGAATGGCTAAAAGTTACCCAGTGTTCCTGAAATATTGAAAGTGGGCTTCCCCAGTCCTACTACAGCACACTGGCTCTCTCATAAGATGAAAACAAGCATAGCCCACACAGAATACTATGAAAGGTATACAGCTTTATTCACTGCCCTCAAGCAGTACTTCAGTACTTACTCTTCCTCCTCATCTGAAGATGAAGATCTGGATGAACGATCAGTTTTCTCACTAGATTTATCGTCTTCTTCTTCCTCTTCATCATCTGAGTAAACTTCACTCGTTTTTAATGGCTGCTTCTTTAAGAGCAACTCAGCTACAAAGAAAAAATGACATAATTCTCTTCTGTTCAGTTTCCTCGACCAAAGACTCCTTTAGTTAAAATAAGTAAGGCTCTAACCAGATATTGCCTCAAGGGAGCCCATGCTGTTAGCCGTATTCACATTTTTTTTTCTTCCAAGCTGAGTTCCAATCCAGGGCTAAGCATGGCTGAATTCTTTTTGGCTCAAATTAAGCTTTATTGATTACTGCATTTGAGTAAAGGAAATTGCTATTCATCTACCACATCTTACTTCATTATGTATCTTGGATATAAACCTTAGAAATAAATTACATGTTAGATTTACATGGGCAGCTCTTCAACACAATCATACAAAAATTAGTTCATGTACACTGGCAATTTGCATGTCTCTTTATATCAATTCTGAATTAGTAAAATGTGTTCACACTCTGAACTCTGGTGGATACCAGAGCACAGATGGTAGATATATTGCCATCTGTGCACCTTCTGATGAGACACTATTAAGGGAGCTGTTATTTGGACATACTACTGTTCAAAGCAACACAGGTGTATAATGTTCACTTGTGAATGCTAAAGAAATACATTTACTGATGTCCATTAAATCTGAAGAACTGCTCACATATGTTTGCTCTAGCATTAGCTGCAAGACAAAACATCAACGGAGAACATTTACTAGTTTTGTACCCATTGCCTTTTAAAAACTTAGGTGCTGGGGACAAAACACAGCATGAACAACATTGATTTTTTATGTAATTGATGTTTTGTAACTATACAATATATCCTACTCTGGACTATACAATATATCCTACTCTGGGATCCATGGATGAAGGGTGTGTTAGAAATATCTTAATTAAAAAAGTGCAAGTGAGCCAGACAGATATCCCAATACAAGATGGATAACAGTTTTCATTTGCATATGCATTTGCATCAAGGTTATAAGATGAAGCTGTAAGAGGAAATAAAATAAAAATAAGGTTTTCCCTAAATGTTAACATTAGAAGTCTGCAAATCTATAGCACATACAAGTAACTCCAAGAAATGTGCTTTGAAAAGAGTAGCCTGATTAACTGTCAAATAGTCTACTTCCACTGTGTGTGTCACTGATGCATAAAAAACCCAACATCTTGGTTGTTAGTTTAGGGAAAAGGAGTTAGTTAAGAGCTATAGCCATGTTAAAGAATGAACATTGCTTCCTTTTTGGGATACCGTTTTAAACTGCAGGAAGCTCACAAAATCAGATGCTCTAATGCAAGAGGGGGCAGAAGATTGATCTCTGGAAGATTTGCATCAGCTCAAGAAAGGTTTCTGATTCTCAATCTTATAACAAAAGTAGCAAGGAAATGATTCCATATGCCCAATCTGAATTTGCCTGATAAACTAAAGAAAGTTTTGAGGCAAAAAGTAGAAGGACTATGATGTCTGTTCAGCTCTGATACCCAATATTCCTGGGCTCTGAATCTTTTAATTCTTAAGGCTCGTGGATCTTTAGTTCTAGTAAAAAACCCACACAGGACTCAAGTTCAATTCCCACCATCTCCAGGCAGGACTGGGAGAGACCCTTGTCTGAAACCCTTGAAAGCTGCCAATGTAGAAGATACTGGGCTTGATGAATCAGTAGTATGACTCCATAAAAGGCAGCTTCCTGTATTTCCTGACCATCCCGTCAGGAAAAACACAAATTAAATCTTAACAGAAATATCAGTATCCCCAGCCAATGACATTCAGGAAAGAATAAAACTTTTGCGTAGCTTGTGCCTAGTCCCTAGGCACTGCTTTGGTAGTGAGCACTGGAGAAGCCTTTTAGTTCATATTGAGCAGGCATAGGCAAACTCGGCCCTACAGATGTTTTGGGACTACAACTCCCACCATCCCTGACCACTGGTCCTGTTAGCTAGGGATGATGGGAGTTGTAGTCCCAAAACAGCTGGAGGGCAGAGTTTGCCTATGCCTGATATTGAGGGTATAAGTCTATCACTTACTATGAACATACAAGTTAACGGCCCTTAAAAGCATGTAAAGTCACTGAAAAAAAGTAATCAGGAAACAGTTAGTTAAACGAAATCAAGGCTCTGTAAAAAGTGTAGTCCCTGGGCATCAAGGAGCACCCACATTCTTTAACTGGAAATGTACTCCACAATAGATCCTTTTCATGGGCTTTTGAACTAACCTGTTCTGTTCTTCCTTTTCTCCCTTTCTGCTTTCAGTTCTTCCATGGCTTGGGATTTCTTATCCAATTTTTCATCTCGCTTTGACCGTCGCTCTTTATTGTGTGACATGACCTATGGAAACACACAGCCACCTCTATAATAGCTACTTAGATTTCGTCCACATCACTTCTCTTTACTATGTTTTTAAGTCTTCTGGATTATTTGTAAAATTTGGTTTGTAATGACCATTTAAAGCTGGCCTGGAATTTTTTCTAAAAAAGGTTTTATTCTGCACCACTTCATTAACTTATCTAAAGAAGAGGGCATAAAAACAGACCATTTTCTGCATGCAAATATGTCATCCAGAAGTGCAGACAAGCTACTGTAGCTCTGTTATTGGTCACATTGGCACAACAGAAAGTGATTACATGATTTTCCAAAAATGGAGTCCAGTGGCACCTCAGATTTATTGATTATAAATCTGTTAGCCTTTATAGTGCCATAAGAGTCTTCTTTTTGCTATATTACAACGCAGATACTTCCTAGAAATGGTTTATCAAAGGACTGCTACCTATATAAGGAATAATGGAAGACAAGACAAAAATGCATTGCTCCTGTTCAGTTTTCATTCAGACCATTATTTAATCTGGTTTGGTTAGGATGAAGGTGCATGATTTCACCTGAGTGATTCTGAGTGATTTCACATCACAAACATCTGAGTAATTTCACATCACAAACACCTGGTTTTAGGCATTTGTTATCACCTGATAAAGTGAGCTTGCTATGTTCTTACCTGGGATTCCTGGATCTGGGTGAGTTTTTTCTTCTCCTGCTCTTCTTCTTGCTTCTTCTTTTTCTCTTTCTTTTCTTTCTTTTTTGCTGTCTTTAATTTCTTTTTTATTTCAAACCTGGGCTCAAAACAAGGGAAAAATGAGTAAGAACCTGCAGTCACTTTCACACATCATTAGAAGTCAAGGGAGGATGAAATATTATAATAGATGAAAAACTCTTAAAGCAGGGATGGGAAGCTATTTTTGTATGCCAACAATTCCATTTCCTGGGGGACAGCAGCATAGATTGGGGGGTGAGTGGGGCTAGAGATGGCAGTTACTAAAGCCCAAAAGCGGGTGAGGCAGGAGCTGGATACAGAGGGACATATCTCTTGTCTCTTTCAACAGCCTTTTATTTTTACCATCACCACTTCTCTCTCCCAGCTCCCGTTATGGGATGAATCTGAATAGTGGCTTCCCATCACTGCTCTAAAGCAAGAGAATTATAAGAAGGAATAGACCGTAATAATAGTTACACTAAAGGTGGGTGAAAAACATGTCCACCCATTACTGTTACAGACTAGGCAAATTACTGGCAAAATCAGGTGACTTGTTGCTCAGTTTCAAAGCAAAATACCAGATCTAGAAGCTGGCAGGTGAGCCCAAGTGTTTGAGTTGATGGGATTGATCACTTTAAAGCATGACTACTCTAGGACAGTGGGAAGAATTGAAAAGCACTTTTATTGAGGGCAGTGTAATTTTTTCTATCCTCTTCCTGTATTTAATTTTCAGTAGCTTGGAGATCTGGTGGTATGACACTATTTGTTTGTGTTTCTATATGTATATGTAGTGTGTATATGTATATGTATATGTATATGTAGTGTGTAGATGTATATGTATATGCGTGTGTAGTGTGTAAGGTAAAGGTAAAGGTACCCCTGCCCGTACGGGCCAGTCTTGCCAGACTCTAGGGTTGTGCGCTCATCTCACTCTATAGGCCGAGAGCCAGCGCTGTCCGCAGACACTTCCGGGTCACGTGGCCAGCGTGACAAGCTGCATCTGGCGAGCCAGTGCAGCACACGGAACGCTGTTTACCTTCCCGCTGGTAAGCGGTCCCTATTTATCTACTTGCACCCGGGGGTGCTTTCGAACTGCTAGGTTGGCAGGCGCTGGGACCGAACGACGGGAGTGCACCCTGCCACGGGGATTCGAACCGCCGACCATGTGATCGGCAAGTCCTAGGCGCTGAGGTTTTACCCACAGCGCCACCCGCGTCCCTGTGTAGGGTGTATCTATATCTAATATAGATAGGAAACGAAAACAACACATTCTGACAATTTCTTGCACCCTGCAAAGGATAATTTGGTAATCTGCATTAACTCCATTTCTGTCCTTTTTTTTGAAACCAAACCAGCTGGGAAATGATTTGCAGGTATCCTACCGATACTGAGCACAAGTAGGCATTGACCAAAATGAAAACTAGCAAGCTTACTAGAAATATGGACATGAGGGTGTGTGTTGCATATGTAGAGGGCACTGGAATTGTTATTTAAGTTAGCCTTTAATCATAAACCTCACCTCCTCTTTAGAACCTCTCTCTTCTCTATCCGATTAAACAACTCCTGCTCCCTCTCCTTTTCTGTCATCTGTTCTAGCCGAGCTCTGTCCTCTTCATCACCCATGAGGTCCTCCCCATAGCCATCAGTGAACTCATCTTCTGAAGATGAATCAGAGTCTGAGCTGGAACAAGAGCTATTGCTTTCAGAGTCAGATACTTCACCTGAAACAAAACAGAAAGAATCCACTCTGCTGAGTCAACTGCAGAACTCCAGATAAAGACCAAGGTCGTTTGCTTGCATACATTCCTTGTTACTATTGCTTCCCCTTCTCCCCATCACCATCTAACTTTGTATTCTAAGCTCCTCAGGCAGGTACCTGTCTTTTCCTTTACTACTTTGGAGCATGCCATGTACACTGCTGGCACTAAAATACACGCATACCTGTGAGAAAGTAGCAAGTATCACTAACAAACCTGGACTATGGCAGGAGAAAATACATACACATTATTATATCTTTTGTTACTCCTTAATAAAGTAAAACTAATAGAGTATGTGGGCCTCTGCATAGGATGGAGTTGCAGGATTGTAAAAGAAAGTTACTTTTAGGCAAAAAGTACAGGTACAGCCCAAAGGTCTAAGAATGTCAGAAAGATTACAATACTGAGAATACCAAAGCCACATTCAGATGTATTATTCGTTTTACTCCAAGGGTTCAAAGCAGGCTACAGCAATGGTAAATGAAACACATTCCTTAAGGGAAAGAAAAACTTGTCAACTCTTACCATTAATCATGCTGTTTGAGGCTGATGGGAGTCCAACAAGACCTGAAGGACCACAGATTTCTCACCTCCAGTGCAAAGAATAAAGAAGTGGCCTCATACACAATAGCAAGCGGCTGAATACTATTAGCATATAGCTCAGACAATCACAAGAATGGTCCAAGACACTAGGGGAGGAATTTAATATTGCCCCCCTCTGCACACTGTTCTGGAGGTTCTCCCAATACTTGCACAGGGCTTCTGCTAATGAGACTCATTAGATCAGGCATAGGCAAACTTGACCCTCCAGAGCCAGGGTGGTGTAGTGGTTAAGAGCGGTAGACTTGTAATCTGGTGAACCGGGTTCGCGTCTCTGCTTCTCCACATGCATCTGCTGGGTGACCTTGGAGTAGTCACACTTCTCTGAAGTCTTTCAGTCTCACGTACATCACAGAGTGTTTGTTGTGAGGGAGGGAGGGAAAGGAGATTGTTAGCCGCTTTGAGACTCCTTAGGGTAGTGATAAAGAGGGATATCAAATCCAAACTACTACTCCTCTTCTTCTTCTTCTTTTGGGACTACAACTCCTACCATCCCTAGCTAACAGGACCAGTGGCCAGTGATGATGGGAGTTGCAATCCCAAAACATCTGGAAGGCCGAGTTTGCCTATGCCTGCATTAGATGAATCTCACACTAGATTTGTAAAGGGAGGAAGAAATGATTAGAACAGACCAGGAAAATAAAATTACACGTATCTTATTACAGAAGGCTTAAACCATTGTCCCTTTCTTGCCCTTTACATCTAAATACCTAGAGTGATAGGAAACATTAAACAAGCACACCAGTGATTTACATATGCTTTTAGTACTTCAGCATAGCCTACTGCAAATATAAAAATAATCTGACCTGGAAAAACAATCTAAGCCCAACAGAAAATGAGTGCCTACAGAAAACCACCCACATTACTGACATGGTGCATCCTCTTACCCTCTTCAGGTGCAGAGCTCTCTGCTGAGCTTTCTTTATCAGAACTGCCCGATGAGGCTGCTTTGTTCATCTGTTTCTTCATGGCTCCTTTTTTCTCTGCTTTCCCAGTTTTCACTTTCTTTTTGTTTTTAGAACCTCCGACTGTCCACTGTATCACAGGAGAAATGAAGAGAATCATGTGGCAAGGCTGAGGCTTTCCCAAACAATCAAGTTAATTTTACAGGAGATAGGACAAACTACAAGAGAAGCCAGATTATAATACTGATTTATATTGCAGAATCCACACTGATTTGATGCAATCCACTTATTCTTGTAGAAAAGCTTACCTCTACATCGCTGTCTGAAGTCTCAGAATCTGAAGATGCTGTAGGCTTACTAGCAGGTGCTTCCTTTTCCTCAGAGTCACCACGTTTCCGTTTGGCAAGTGATAAAAGCTCCTGGTAGGAGAATAAATATACTGTTACCTTTAAAATTAAAAGACTCTAGCCCTATTAGAGACACAATTTTCACCATAACACTTCTTCATCAACTCTTCAAATATGCTGTCCCTTAAAGTACCAGTGTTATCACATGGTGTAATCCACTGTACAAACCATTAAAAAACAAACTTTGCATGCATACAAGCAGGGCTTTCTCTTTTGTGACCCAGCTCCTCTGAACTCCTTCCTAAGTAAAGTCCACAGGTGCCCGACCGTACAAATTTCTAGGAAATGTGTAAAAATGTTATTTCAGAAAAGTTTTAAAGAATCACATGCTTCTAATGCTGTGCTCCATTTGTGGCTCTGGGTTATTTAGCGAATTTAAGTGTACGCATTTGACTTTCAATTTGACAGAATTGTTGCAGTCCACTTTTAATACATAAAAAGCCAATATAATAAATGCAAACAGGTGGACCCATTACAAAATATATTACACATGAATCCAAGTCCTTAGACCAGGGTGGTCCAACTTCATACCAAGTGGGCTACTAGAATACTTTGACACGGAACCCGCAGGCCACACTCTGCCTTGTCACGGGGGTGCCAGGCTTTGGGAAGGAAGTGCAAGGATCTGGCAAGGTCCTAGAGCCTTTCCAAAGCTGGGAACGTGCTAACAAGGCTTTGGAAAGGAGGACGGAGAACTCTAGGACCCTGTCAGAGCCCTCATACTTCTTTCTCAAAACCCAGCTTACCTGGCTTTGGAAAGTCAGTGCGAGGGCTGTGGGGGGCATAAAGTGTTGCCAAGGGCTACCTAAAAAGGTATCAGGGGCCACATTCAGTCCTCAGGCAGTGTGTTGGACCACCCTGCCTTAGACATTTTAAAGCACACCCACGAGTCACATTAGAACATTTGCTTATTGGAGTGCTCCCCTAAGTACCAACTTACTACATGGGAGGGCTTGATACATGTAACTTCAACAGTCAAACAGCTATACAGATCTCTACAGAATTCTACATATCCCAATGGCCTACTTCACATAGGTGTTTGGGCTCTAGGAGATGAGACAGGCAGCTTTGCTCCTTCCTGGTCATTCTGACGCTATGCTGAGCTAAGCCCTGGTTTGGTTTAGCGTGTCATCCAAACCCAGGCTCATGGTTTAGCTCTCTCCAGGCGAACCCTGAGCCGTCCTGTGGTTAATTGATAGGGTTTTTTGGGGAGAGAAAATAAAAAGTATGCCTGACCTGACAACATGCTATGCCAAATTGCAACTTAATTCAGCCAGAGGAAAGCAAAGCAGCTGCAGTCTCTGCTCCAAGGCCCGCCACTAAGCTGTGGTGTGGCTTAGTGTGACATGCTAACTAGGCCAGTGGCTGGCACAGGAGGCCAGAGGTGTAAAGTAAACCTTCCAGCCATCCCAATTTCAACCACTGGGAGCACTCCACTGAACAAGGCACACTACAGGGAAGATGGATTTCTAAGTATCATTGAGTTTGCTATTAATAAAAACAAAAAACAGGAAGTGAAAAACATACATTGAATTTTCAGTAGAACCTGCTACCTAAAAGATGTGTTTCAATTATCAAAAAGGCTTGGTTCAGATGTCATGCTATGTGATAATCAAACTTTGTTTGGTGGTCAGAACTCCCCTGCAGGCTTGATTGTCCCCCTTTCCTGGACTCATACACTTTCCCCCCCTCCCTTTCCTGGTTAGTGATAACTTAAGAGTTTTCTGTGACCTCTGAACTACAATCACCATTAACCATTAATTGCTCTCAAACAAATTATTCTGTGCAAACCATTGTAAATACTTACGAGGGTGCGAGGGAGGAAGAATGTAGGTGGGAGTGGGCAAATAAGTCTGCAGTGCTGTGGTGTGCTCCCAATTGCTAAACCATGGTCTGAAAAACCAGGTAGCAAAATATCTTAACAGGACCACTGTCTTAGTAAGACTGTACTAATATGCAAGAAAGAAAATCCTTCATAAAGATTTGACATTTCCCCTGCTAAGGAAAGATGCTTCACATTTTCTTCTGGCTAATATTGGTCTATTGTACTGTGAATTATTATAGTTTAGAAAGACCCACAGTTTCCAAGCAACTATAGAAGTGAGCAAAATGGAAGTGAGGTAATATCGAAGTTTCATCATTACCCACAGGTTCTAGCACTTGGTAGTAAAATCATAATTTCTCTTTTAAATGCTAGATTTAAACTACAAGCAGAAACTAACCTCAAAATCTGATACATTGGCTTATATTAAGCACTTGGAAGGTTAACATCACAATCCTTTATTTGCATACACATTTTCCCAAACATAAACAGCACAGTGATAATTTTGGCATGGAGAAGAGTGCTTCTCAATGAATAAATAAAATATCTCCCTTTTCTCTGAAAGAAAATCAGAAGCACGTGGTGTTGCATGCTGTTGTTTACAAAGTAACAGCTGTCAGACTACATATTGATGCCAATGGCAGCTTCCCACCAGATGTAAACAGCAGCCAGAGAAGGGGGATTTTCAGCAGGATTGTACCACAGGAATATGTTGAAAAATATACCCCCACTACAACTCCAATCCACCCCACCTCCACAATTGCTATTTAAATTAGAATAAAAAGCACCCAAACTATATGCTTAATGCCATGTAGGGCTTGGTGCACAAATGAGCAGTCACTGGACAGCAAAAATGCTTAAGCACTGTTGTATATAACAAAAATGCTAAAAAGCAGTACTGCCTGTACAGAAAAACAGGTGAATAAGCCCAGAAATGTTGATTACCAAAATCAAGCAATATTTATTGGGTGTTTGATCTTTCTCACCAAATTCCGGGGTTTTCTTTTATAACCATATCAAATGTTTCCTCACTAGTTACAGGTTCCTAGAGATGTTAAAATCAGTATATTGGATCTACAACATTCCTTCTATAAATAGAAGGGCTCCTTCTGTTTATGGAAGGGACTGAGAGCCACCAGACAATTCCAAAGGAGAAGAGGAAGGGGAGATGCTCCAACCCTCTGGAACAGTTTTTCAGGGACACAGTTTTTCAAGGAAGGAGTAATTGATGGAAAATCTGCTCACAGATATCAGGTTCAAAATCAGTCTCTATGCAAAAAAAGGTTGTATTATTATTATTAGTAGTAGTAGTAGTAGTAATAATAGTAATTTTCAGTCTACTAGGTTCTCCTCTCCTACTTCCAGATATCTAATCTTTGTCTCCTCTCCATTTTCTCACCTTAGCTCTCTCCACTGCCACCAGCTATTCCTTTCCATGGCTAATCAGACGACTGCATTACACACAGACAACAACATCTGTGCAGTTTTGCTTACAAATTGGCACAAGGCACCCAAATGTATTTCCAAATGTGCATCTCTATTAAAAACTATGCATCTCAACTTTACATCTTCACCAGCAAACCTGATATTAATATTTATAGTACCATAAAGGTCACATTTTCATTAAGAATGTATATTGATTTCTACCTTTCCAGCTTCCTAAGCCACCTATAATCCTAATATCAACTATTTGGGTTTAAGCAAAGAGCTTAAGTGTATACACCTAGGGTACATTTCCAATGAATTCAAGAATGAGTGCTTTACATAGTGTTAATTCAGATGTCCATGGCCATATCTGTTCAAGTAGGCTGCGAGTTTTGAAGCAATTTAACAGAGGTATTGCTTAGCACCCAGCTTCAGTAATCATGTACGGTGTAAACACTCTACTCATACAGTGGTACCTTGGTTCTCCAACTTAATCCTTTCTGGGAGTCTGTTCGACTCCTGAAACAGTTTGAAAACGAAGGCACGGCTTCTGATTGGCTGCAGGAGCTTCCTGCACTCAGTCGGAAGCTGCAGAAGCCACATCAGATGTTCAGCTTCCGAAAAACGTTTGCAATCCAAAGCCGATTTGTTCAGGAGACAAGCTGTTTGAGTACCAATGTACCACTGTACTACGGTATTCTCCAATTGTTAATGGCCAAAAATGGAAAGTTGGGCTTACTGTGAAGTGCTCTTCTGGTCAAAATGCAGTAAAGGGGTTAAGTAAATCATCTTGTGGTAGATGGCAACGCCCAAATCAGAAGTTAAATGCCCCTATCAACTGTTTGACCATGGTAGTTATCACTAGAAAAAAACACATTTAAACGAGTACTCCAACAAGAACAGAAATGAAGACAAAGAAAGACATGTTCAGAAGGACATGAAACCACTGCAGGAAACTGCACAATTGTATATAAGAACAACCCTTCTGCACAGTTGCCTTCCATCAGCTTTGGCTGGTGGCCCAGCTGCACCCCTATCTGGACAGGGATAGCCTATCTTCTGTCATCTATGCTCTGCTAACCTCTAAATTAGATTACTACAACGTGCTATACATGGAGCTGCCTCTGAAGATAGTTCAGAAACTTAAGTTGGTGCAGAATTCAGTGGCTTGGTTGCTCACTGGGGCAAGACAGTTTGAGCATATTACACTGATCCTGCCCAACTGTACTACTAATTAGTTTCCTGGCCCAATTCAAAGTGCTGGGGTGTGTGTGTGTGTGTATCTATATCTATATATATATATATAATTTTTACTTATTTTCCATTTAATTATATACATTCACATCATCATTATCCACTTTACCACCCTGGCTCTTAGAGCCATCAACTTCCTTCCCTCCCGCCTCATGACTATCAAAATTAACCTTTATATCATTGCAGTTTTTACATTTTCCAATTCTAATTGTACTCATTATGAAATGACTTGAAATTTAAATAAATATAGAAAGGTAGAAAATTTCTCATTACAAGTCTTCAGACAACACTGCTAGTGATGTTAATTGCTTACAATAATCTTTCAAATATTGTATAAATTTACTCCAGTCCTTTTGGAATACTTGATCATGCTGGTTTCAGATTTCTCCTGTCAGCTTTGCCAGTTCTGCAAAATCCATCATCTTCATCTGCCTCAAAGTGCTGGTTTTGATCTATAAAGCCTTATACAGCTCAGGACTGCAATACCTCAAGACAGCCTCTTGTCATATGAACTGATTCGGACCCTGCGCTCATCATCTGAGGCTCTTCTTCATGTGGCTCCTCCATGAGATGTCTGGAAGGCGGCAATACAAGAACGGGCGTGTGAAATGCTCTCCCCAGGGAGGCTCACCTGGCGTCTCTGTTACATATTTTTGAGGTGCCAGGTAAAGACCTTCCTCTTCTCCCATCTCTTTGTTTATTTAGCCAATCAATGGCCTTTTAAACTGTGTTGTTGTTGTTGTTGTTGTTGTCAGTTATTATGCTATTTCTGGGTTAGCGGAGTCTGTAACCTGAAGCGTCTGTAACCTGAAGTGTCTGTAACCCGAGGTACCACTGTAGTGGTAGTTTCTGGAATGGAAAACGGTCTAGTACCTAGGCATTGTTGGGCTGGATCCATTGGCATTTTCACCACCTACAGAACACCCATAGTATCTCCTACATATTGTTTAGGGAGGACTGATAGAAGGCTTTGACAGTATGAACCAGTCCACCACCTAGCAATCTGAAGTCTTAGAGCTGTTGCTGTTTAACTACCAGTTGTGCAACTGGAGGCACAAGTGGCTTGGATAGTGTGATGAACCTTGGAACAGGAGATCCTTAACACAATCAAGAAGATTTTGGGCATCACATGGCAAGACAGTCTCAAAGATGTGTTTTTCCAAGCATGTTCACACTGCTGTCTCAGCGACACCTATTTTGGCTTGGTCATGTCCGCAGAATAGAAGATGGCAGGATCCCCAAGGATGTGTTCTATGAGGAGCTGGCTTCAAACATTAGGCCCATTGGCAGACCAACTCTGCATTACAAAGATGTCTGCAACTGGGACATGAAGACTGGCAACACCAACCCCACCACATGGGAATCCCTTGCAGATGACTGCAGTGCCTGGTGACAGACAGTCAGTTTGTGTATCCACAGCAGTGACCAGAGGAAGAATGACCACTGGGAGGAGCACAGAGAGAAGAAACACCAGAGAGAAGCACAAATGGATGCCTTCAACTGCCCCAGCTGCAATGAAACATGTCTCTCCCATATTGATCTCTATAGTCACAGCAGGTGTTATAATGCTCCAACAGTTTGACTTCACACTCATAGATACACTCCTTCACTGTCTCCTGTGACAAATCAATGCCAACCAACTATAAACCAGAGGATCTGAGAACTATGATTGTCTGGGATAGAATGGGTTCCACACTAGGACTTGTATCTTGAGTGGCTGAACCTTAAACAGAGTTCATGCAAGCTGGAAATGCCCACATGAGTCTCTGAGGCAACCAAAATGACAGGACACCCATAGATTTTGTCCTAAGTCTTGGAACCCATAAAAGAACTGGACTGTTTCAGTGCCAAGGCTGTTTATAATAACAATAATTTTATTATTTATACCCCGCCCATCAGGCTGGGTTTCCCAGCTAATATATATGGTTATGCATATATTGAAGGATGATGGTCACTTCCTTAACAGTTGCTGATCAACTGGAATACAGAAATTGGCTGACAAACGATGGAGGCTGACTAGGAGAAACTCCGTACACACATTCTGCCGAGAGTGAGAAACCACTGTTGCATCTAAGAGTGAAATAGGGCATGAGACTAAGTCAAAGGGAGCAATAATGGAAGCCTGTAGCTGGACAAGGAGAATGAGAGACAACAATCTCCTTGACAGGATCACCCATTTGGAAGTGTAAATCTTATCTGACCACTTCTGCATCAGAAAAACTGATGCTACATCTCTTTTGGTCTGAAGTACCAAAGGAGATATGATCAATAGGTTTTTTAGATCTAGGCAGACATGAACGTCACTGCTCCAGAGTTTAGGAAATGCAGACAGGTTTCCATGAGATTAACTAATGCCATGAAAATCCTTGCTTGAATTCTTTTACAGTTAACCTCAGCATCTATATTCTGACCTTCCTGCATGTGGCAGGAACTGGAGGGTCCAGAATAATTTGCTATTCCCTGTTCTTCTGGGACGATGTAAGGAAAACAATAAAATATATTCTGAGCAACAAGTCTAATTCTATGGCTCTGACCTGAGTGCAGGTCACAAAAGGATCTTTCCAAGCAGGGGCTCAAGAGCAACAGAACACCCCTTTTATTTATTATTATCTTAATAGAAGATAGAAACAAAAAGACTGGGTGTGTCCTCCTCTTCTGTATCCTGTTCAATTTTTGGTCTGCCTTTTACAGAAAATGGAATTTGCAGCTTTGATGCTGAAACTACTGCCCTACTGACCAAGAAATGAAGTTGTATTGGTGTGCTTGCTTTTCACAATCCATGCACTTTGCATACACATAGAAAAGAGACATTAAATGTTCAGGTTCCAGAAACCTCTAGAGAGCACTGTAAACCAAGCAGAAATGATTGCACCCTGCCAAAAGCCAGAGAAAATGGATATCATATTTATTAGCAGAGCTGAAGTATCCAAAGAGGGGTGGGGGGACTAGTAAAATTATAAGAGACACAGAATGGCGAGAATCTGGCAAAAGGGATCTTGCTGTGGAAGCCTGAACATGAAACACAGAAGACTGTGAAGCTTGGAAAGTAAGAGAGACCTTATGCAAAATTCCCCATCTGCCCGGCTGCATGTCAGAACTAAACCACTCACTTTGGGAACCTCGGACATTGCAGGGGGAGACTTTTCTCAGTGACAGGAAACACGAACTAAGACGGATTTGTTGCAAAAGGTCCAGAAACCAGGCTACCTATTCCCTATCCCTCAAAACATCAAGCACCATTGAGTTTCAAAGGACTCCTATTTAGGTGGGAGCCCAACCTATAGTAGGGGGTGGCTAGCCAATGGCTAGTCCAGATGATGCTGGACTAAAACCCTCACTGCCTCTGACCGCTGGCTGGGGTTGACGGGAATTCAGCAACACCAGGGGACCAAAGCCTAGCCGCCCCCGAGCTACAGGCGCAAGATGCATCGTTGCCCGCCCATCCCATCACCTGGCGGAGAGGTCCGTCCCGTCACTGACGAGGAAAACAACAACAAAACCCCTTACCCTTAAGATATTATTTCCTCCTCCAGGGCACCTCAGCGAACTGCCTGCTTCCGAGGGAGCCTTGCACCCACCCGCTCCACGCCCCCCTTGCGCCTCCTCCTCACCCACGTTTGGTGCCCAGAGCCCTCCCGCCATCGCCCCCCACACGCCAGCCCCGCTCTGCCCCTCACCGAGGTGCCGAAGCCGACGCGCCTGAGGGACGGAGACCCGAAGGCTCCCCTCAGCCGCCCACGGAGAGCGAGCCCGGCGGCGGCGGCGGGCGCGGAGAGAAACCCTGGGCCCAGCTCGGCTCACCCACCTGGTCCAGGTTCTCCTCGCTGCCGCTGTCCTCGGTGTCGGAGTCAACGAGGACCCGGCCTTTCCGCTTCTTCACCATGGCGGCACTGGCGGCGCTCTGCTGCTGCTGCTGCCGCTGCTCCTCACGGCGGGCCCCGCAGGCGCGAGCGGCGAGACACTCGGAGCGGCCGGGCCTTTGCCGAGCCAGCCGCTAGCCCGCCAGCTAGCGAGCCCGGGACACAAAGGGCACCGAGCATGCGCCATGCGACGCCCCGCCTTCCGGGGCGGGGCGAAGGGCCTGGCGCCGAATGGGGGCGGGGCCGGGGAGCGGCGGGCCAGTGGCCAGTCGGAACGGAGAGGGAGGGGGCGGGCGTTGTGGTGGAACAAAGAGGCGGTCCCGCGTCAGTTGGGTCCGGCCCCTGGCCCTCGAAGATGGCGCTGCGAGGAAGCGGCGCGCGGGCGAGAGGGGGGCGGGGGGGGCGGCAGGGAGTGCGCTGGGTCTTGTTTCCCCTCAAGAAATGAAAACAGCATTTTTGGAATAAACGAGCCCTCAGTCGTATTGTAAAAGCATTCTGTGAGCCGGGCTCTCCTTAAACGGCCGTTTCTAGGTTTTGGCCTACTGGGACTTCCTGAAGCCTGTTGTACTTCGTAGGCCTACATGAGACTGATTTGGGACCGTTCCTTATAGCGAAGTGAGGAGGGTGACGCGACAGTGTCCCTCGTCCTTCTCAGGGGCCGATAACGTCTCTGGGCTAATTCTTAGCCGAAGGAGGGAGAGCTTTTGTTCCGGGGGCGCTTGGCCAGGAACTCTCCCGTGTGCAGCGCGGAACCTTGAGTGTGAGGCTCTTGTTTCCTTGGAGAGCGGAGCCAGCTGCACTCGGTCTCGGGGGTCATACGGACGGCTTTCGGCGGCGGACTCGCGGAGCGTGGAGGCATCGTAGAAGGCAGGTGAGGGTCTTGCTGTGAGAGTGAAGCGGGGATGTGAGAGGTGCATGCAAGAACTGTGGGATTTCCTTGCTAAATGTTCCGCTACATTGCCCGGGTGGTTTACCTCTGGAAACTCAAGGACTAGCAAACGAAAGGGCATCCGATTCGCGCAGCCTTATGCCCTGGCGCCTCTCATTTTAGAAACAGGGCACAACTATTCAGCTAAACCAGGTAGCATTAAAACCTTAGGTTAGGGTAAACAGGCTCTAAGGGTGGTGTGGCGAGTACTGCTGGCGTCCGTTGTCGTCTGTTGGTTATTAATATGCGCGGAAACTGTCGACTTGAGGAAGAATTCTCTCTTAATACCGTTGATAGTCTGGATATAGCTGCATAGTGATAGCGCTGTATTTAACTTTTGCCTGTTCTTTTATGTATATTCACATGCCACGTCTAGTGTGTTGTTTATTCACAGTTTCAGAAGACTTACTGATTGCCTGAATTTGTAAATGTGAAAGATGTTCTTGGGTGAACTTTCCATAGTTTTTCATTTGGTATTTCCAATTAGAACTAAGTTGTTTCCTCAGATTCAAGTTTTCCTAAAGTTGTCATTTATTCAAAACATTTCTAGTCTGCTCTTTATTACTAAAAGTAATCCTTTTAGACTTACAAGATACAGTGAAAAAGCCAACAATAAATAATGGACTTGGTGACTAGATGGTGCAGAAGCTAAAACTGTTCCGTCAAAATTTTAAGATTATAAACTAATTTTGCATATGATTAGGATTTAGTAGTGATACCTTTTGAGTTTTCAGAGTACTTCATGTTTGCTATTTCAGCATCCCCTACAACAACCACAGAAAATAGGCTAATATTCCCATATTGCACATGGAAGATGAGCTGTTAATGGCTTTCTTAAGGCCACCTAAAGAGCTTATTGCTGAACCAAGAGTTTTTGTTGAATGTGCATGATTGCCCTTGTCATCTCTGCTTTTTAGCCAGCTCTGGAGTACATTTCAAAAAAGCTTTCCATGGTGCTAAGAGTATGCGTGTGCAGATGGATGTACACTCCTTATTTGCATTTAAAGAGAAAAACAGTCTTCTTCTAATTGGATACAATATACTTATTACACTGAATTTTAAAAAATAATAATATTGAACTAGGGCAATGTGATACCTGTTTCTTATTTATGAGGCAGGGATTATCCTCAGACTCTGTGCCAATAATTCTACTTAAGGTAATAAAGTTAAACACATACCCAGATCTTACTAGCTTTGGAAAATAAATTAAGCCAACGTGTATGCTCGAAAAATATTTCATTTCCTTTTGTTACAGATGGAAGCAAACAACATTAATCAGGGACTGAAAGCACTATTTTTATTTAAATAAAAGTTTGTTGGAAAGCAAAAGATTCTAGTTTTCTGCGAATATTATTATGGCTTCATCCCTCAAGATTTTGGATTCTGCCTGTCTTCTAAAGAAATATCACTGGCAAAATGGCTTGTGTGCCTTGTTTAGACCTCTTGTTGATAGTTGCAATCTAAAATGGTACAGTAGCTACAGGAGACCAGGGACACCTCCTGACAGAACCCCGCCTTGGAAGAAAATAGACTTCAGCTTTCAGAAGGGAGTGGAAGGAATCAAGACACATTTTGGACGATTAGTGAAAGAAGTAACTGATCACGTGAAAGGGCCTGAGGGACGTCCACTAAAGCAATACATGCTGGAACAGACAAGAGTGATTTGGGAGTTTCGTAGTCAAGAAGACTTGGATAAATGGGTAATCTCATCTGATGTTGAAATTGGAGGGAAAAGTGAAATCTATATGCAGCTGGGTAAGAATAACCAGTCTGCTCTGTTGTATGGGAACATCAATACTACAGTACCTCGTGATGGTGAGACCAGGTACAGTGGTTACTGCTCCATGAGATCTAAACCTCGACTGGTGAGTATATAGTATAGTAATAGTCATTTTGCTTCAAACTAGGAGGAGTGGAATTAGTTTTTAGTGATGAAAGCTCTTTATATATAGAGAGAGTGTGTGTGTGTGTTACAAAAGTACAGTGATACCTCGGGATGCGAACGGGATCTGTTCCGGAGCCTCGTTCGCGTCCTGAAGCAAATGCAACTCGCGTGTGCGCGGGTTGTGTTTCTCCGCGCATGCGTGTGACGTCATTTTGACCGTCTGCGCATGCGCACGCGGTGAAACCTGGAAGTAATGCACTCCGTTACTTCCAGGTCACCGCGGAGCGCAACCCGAAAATACTTAACTTGAAGCACATTTATCCCGAGGTATGACTGTACATACATTGTCTCTATTTTCAGATCATAAAGTCCTTTCTACAGATCAGTTATATTTGATATAAAACATTACTGTTGTATCTAGTGCAGTCGCTTTGTGAGTCGACCGTTTTGGCTCCCGAATGCCACAAACCCGGAAGTGAGTGTTCTGGTTTGTGAATGTTCTTTGGAACCCGAACATCCAACTGTATAAGGTAGGCAAGTCCAAAGTCCATTTCAGGGGTTTGATCGGTTTAATCTGGCCCCTGTGGCAGTTTATTTCCTGGGGTAAAAATCCTTTAAAAAACCCTCAACAACTTTAACCCTAAAAAAAGTCAACAACTTTGGTCGGCCCTCACGGCCCTTCACTTCATCAAATCTGGCCCTCTTTGAAAAAAGTCTGGACACCACTGGTATAAGGGGAGGGTATAAATCTGAGATACAAAGAATAGTATGTTTGAGGCATGAAATTCAGTCACGCAAATTACATGGATAGTGAGTAAAGCATAAGGCATAAAGCATGATTTCCTCAAAGCCTTTACCTACTAATTTGTAATTATGTGCTTCTTAAATAAAACTAAATGTAAATACTTTAAAACATGATCTTAAATGTGAATTTGTAATGTAATTTTATCTTCCCTTCCAAAATCTGGTAAAATTGTATATATTTATTTAACTTTCTGGAAGAACTAAAGTTCATTAACAATACAATAAAAGTGTGTAAACGTGTTCAGAATACACTGAGGCAGCTTAGTTGGGATGGGGAAGTCAAGTTTGACTCAGTGGAAGGCTTAGAACAGAGCTTTTCAAATTGTGTGTTGCGACACGTTAGTGTGTTGGCCGCAGTGTACAGATGTGTCATGCAAAAATTCTCCCCACGCTCCTCCTGGGGCTGGGAATGGGTTAGTTTGCTAGTAAAACTGAATTACTATGTCACGAAATGATGCATGTCTGAAAAATGTGTCACCAACATGAGAAGTTTGGAAAGCTCTGGCTTAGAGCAATATCTTGTATTTTGGTAGGTGGCTTTTGATCGAAAGAAGCCTTATGATTGGTCAAATTTCAATACCCTGGTCCTGCGTGTTCGTGGTGATGGTAGACCCTGGATGATAAACATCTATACAGACCCATACTTCTCTCATCAGAAGGATGACATATATAATTACTTCATGTTCACACGTGGGGGCCCGTATTGGGAGGAAATCAAGGTAATACAATGAGTATTTCCATAAGTGTGTAAAAAATGTATTACTTGTCATGTGGAAAATAAGCAACTGAAGGACCTCTGGCTTACCAGTAATAGTTGTCCAAAATTCAATAGACATGGGCTGTTATTAAAAACATTTTATCCCACTATTCAGCCAAAAAAAGGTTCCCAGAGTGAGTTACAGGTACTCTCACAATCCAAGAGACAACACAAAAGGAAAAGGAATAAAAAGCGGGAAAGCAAGCTCAGGCTATAGAGTTCTTGTAGGGATTAGCTGGAATGGAAAGATGTAAAGAGAAAAAGTCAAAAGTTCCAGCTTTTTCACCAAAACCTATGGAAACTATCCTGCAGTTCCATCTTTCCCACTTATATAGTCTGATAGAATGGTTGTAAATAATGATAGTTGAGGAAGCTGGTCTCTCAGCAGACCTGAGAAAGAGGCCCTACAGTCCCATCTGTCCCTCTTCTGTAGTTTAAAGGAAATGTAAGCTGACAAAATATTTATCTAAATCAAATAATATGTAGGGTATAGAAAATAAGTCCAAATGGATGTTTTTAGGCTTTACAAACTTAAACATGTAGAAGGAATAATTATAAATGTGAAAAACAGAATGATTTTATGGGTACCCCCACACCGGTTTCAGGCTTTAAAGTTTTAAGCGTTTGAGAGATAAGTGGAAACCCATAGAAGGCTGCTGAAGGTAAATGGAGGCAGTTTCTAGATAAATAAACTCAAAGTTGTGAGGACGGCTAGTCAAGGTGCTGGGATTTGATAGTCGGCTGGATGAGGGCCAGTAAATGAGGCGGAAACCTGACAAGATGGAGGTTCTGTAAGTAGCTGGTTTGTGTCTAGGAATTAGGTGTATAATTTATACATGAGGTTGCACCCACCCTGAAAGAACTGGTTTTCTGTAGTTTCCATTCATTTTTGCAGCAGGTCTATATCTATTTAGCTAGGTATTTTAATGTTGGCATTTTAGTCTTCTCTTACTGTTTTTGGTTATTTCTTACTGTTTTACGATGTTTTCTGGTTTTGTGGTATGCTTAAATTTGTTTATACCTATTTGTATCGTGCCCTAGTACCTGTATGGATTAAGGGCAGTCTACACATGCGGGTGGCGCTGTGGTCTAAACCACAGAGCCTTGGGCTTGCCAATCAGAATGTTGGTGGTTCGAATCCCTGCGACAGGGTGAGCTCCTGTTGCTCTGTCTCAGCTCCTGCCACCCTAGCAGTTCAAAAGCACACCAAAAGTGCAAGTAGATAAATAGGGGGAAGGTAAATGGCGTTTCCATGCGCTGCTCTGGTTCTCCAGAAGCGGCTTAGTCATGACCCGGAAAACTGTCTGCGGACAAACGCTGGCTCCCTCAGCCTATAGAGCGAGATGAACGCGCAACCTCAGAGTCGTCCACGACTGGACCTAATGATCAGGGGTACCTTTACCTTACAAATTTTTAAAATAATAATAGCTAATTAAGCATATAGATAGCCTATACACAATTGTATCTTCTTTGCAGACTTCAGCAAACTATTGACAAGGCTATTTTGGGAGATACGTATTTGGCACAGGAGTGACTGTGGTCACATGGAGTTGTATTTTAAGAATTATTGCTTTCAGTTATTTCTCTCCTAATTTGCAGGCTAAGCATTGTGAAACTATAACAGCGCTTGCATAGTTAATAGTAATATGGTTTTAAAAAACGAAGCTTTATTGAAAAGTATTCTGCTACTACTGAACACCAATCATGAATGCAGCATTATTCTGTTGAGTTTATATAGTGTTGAAAATATCAAGTGTTAATATGTGTCTTTGTCACGCAGATTTCCATTTACCTGTGCTAATTCCTCCTAGACAGATAGCTTGACCAATCCTTCATTCTAGCGGCCCCATAACTTATTTTGTTCTTTTAAAGATCTTCCTGTTCTTGTACGTAACTGTGCTTTCAGTTCTAATCAGTTGAGAGAATGCTGCATTATCCACAAGTGACAGGGATTATAAATAGTAATGGGTAGGAAAAAACTTAGCTACATAGCCATTCCAGTTTGAGTACACACACATACATACATACATATATATATATATATATATATATATATATATATATATATACACCTGCTTTGTATTCAGAGCCAGCGCCACTATGAAAATCACAATATGAAATTATGAGCTGCATGAAGGCACTTGCTACCAGTTACCTAAAATATGCGTGCTTCTGACTAAAGGGAGACGGGGGAGGTTATTGTTGTTGTTTTAAGTATTTACTTGTGTTTTTATCTTGTATTTTATTCTGTGAACAGCCCTGAGATCTTGTGAAGAGCAGTATATAAATTTAATAAACAATAATAACAAATAATTTCTTATTGGCAGATTCCGTTTTCTAAGTTCTTTTTTACAAGCCGGGGGAGAATCCAGGATAACCAACATGCACTCTGGTTAGATAAGGTAAATATTCTTGCACTTAAATCTGCAAGATTTTAACTACATGGTCCAATGAAACAAGTCCGCAAATTGTGTGCTGATGGTGCTCTTTCGGAATTTCCCTCCATATCCCATCCTCTTTAGACTAATTGTGAACTGCAAAGAACTTTTGAACTGCAGAACACCCCTGCTCTACAGAGACAAATGACAAAATCTTTCAGTGCTTTATACAAATTCCATGTTTGAAACCTGCACTTAGCTCTTGGCTAACTTGTAGAGCTGCCCTGTTGCTCTCCAAGAAAAGTGCAGGGAGCTTATGCACTGACCAGTGCCAAGTCCTTTAAGTACCTTCCCAGTGAAGGCCTATAGCAGAACCAGTGATTGAAAAGTCCCAGGAGGGCTGTACCTGAACTAGAGTACGTGATGAGAGGAACTCTTCTCATATGGGTCCTTCTTTCCTGTTGGAATCTCTGCTGTAGAATCAGAAGAGAAGGCAAAGCTGGAGGACCAAACGTAGGGTTTGGCTTGGAGTTTGTTGTAGTTTTAGTGACTGTTGATGTGTGCAGTGAAGCAATACCGGTCTGTGTTGAAATTGTCCTGTTTCTAACCTATGTTAGCATCTCAGCCAAGGCTATTTGCCATACATTTGTATACCTTCTTGTTACCAATAAACCAAGACCAGTTTTCTGATGTGTTTATAAACTGTGAATGGATCTTTGCAGAGAAGTGTTCTGGCCTCCACAAGTCTATGTTAATTCGAGGAATAATTTGGAAAATGCCATTACCAATTATGCGTTGTTGTTGTTTTTAAACAGATCAGTACCTTAGGATTCACCATAGCTGACCAAGTAAATGGTCCATTTCAGCTGGAGATTGACTTCATTGGATTGTTCTGTGATGCAGCCCATACAGAGGAAACTGCCTATGAGCTATATGAAAGAAATCCCAAGAATCCCAAGAAGTAGAACTTACTGAACATTTGGAGGACTGCTATTCATCTGAAACTGGAAACTTCCACTATCCCCCCCACCCTTACACAAAATTTGCAAACAGCAGGGGGAGGGGAAAAACCTTGGCCTGCTAAAATAGCATGTGGGGACAGTAGTAGCTGAAAGGTAGTGGCTTTCAAGGTTAGGTGACTGGATGCATTCTAATGGTTTACTAAGTTGGAATAAAGTCAACAGGCTAAAGGTCTAAAATTACATTGAAATATCCATTTCACTTGAAGAATAAGAGGCAAGTATTTTGTGGGAAACAAATAGCTAACTAATGAGTGATGTAGAAGGCTTTGGGGGCTTGTGTGTTGGGCTACCTAATAAATTTCTACCCTAAACTCATTTCTGGCTACTGCATTCTTTGTGACTGTTTTTTGTAGCTACCAGCCATCATGGGTAGGATGAGCTAATTTGCAGACATGCCAAAGCTTGTTAGAAATGGGTCCCAATGAGATCAAAAATGCAATCCATGCTGTGACCAAAGCCACTAGCATGCAGAGATTAGTTGCAATTCCATTTGGAGGGAGTACTAGATTCCTTTCTGACCTTTGTCTGTCCCATTTAGAAGCTCTTCATTGGAAGAGGCTTGCAAAACAAGCTACACATGCAATAGCAGAAAGTGATCCTCCTCCATTCTGTTTAGGTGGGAAGAAACTTTGTTATCAGAACTCTCCATAATGGAGTAGGAAACATAAGGAAGTGTGCCCTGCTATCAATCAGATGGAAGGACAATACCACTAGGAAAAAAATGTATTGTTATACCCTCTTTAAGTGTGAGTTTTCTGTGCTATTCCTTCAACCCTCCTTGTCTCTACTATGTCCTGCCTGTGATTAAAGCCTTTTTGGACATATCATGATGAGTTATAGATGACTGGGCCTCTGAGTAAGGCTTTCTTGGTGGTGGTACCCCATAGAAGGAACATACTTCCCACCAGGCTGATACCAACATCGATTAATTTTGGAGCAAGGTGGAAATGTTTTTCTGCAACTTTTGAAGATCAGCCTTGACTGAAGACATTTAGGACAGGTGGAAGAACATGTTTTAGTAGTTTTTTATGCAATGCATGTTGTGATCCTTCCTGGGTGCTGTTTGGCTGTGAATGGGATATAAATTTAGAAAATATGTATTGTGTCTGCTCATCCTCCAGTGTCCTTGATTAAAACTATAGTATACGCTTGAAGGAGGTGGGGACAGACTTGGTGATGAAATGTATTCCCACCCCTAACTGATCACCAGCCAGGACGTAGATGTGGTCTTGATCAGGCACCAGTACAATACTACTTTTTCATGCAGAAAGTCAGAAAATTCCCAATTCATTATTTAAGAATTCCTGTATTCAATTGAAAATGTGACATTGGACCTCCCATGAGGGATGGAGTGGATCCTCAGATGGGTTGTCCCTCCAATTTGCTCCACAGGCAAAATATGTGAATTAGACAAGGTCATCCAGCTCGGAAGAAAATATGTTAACCTTGGAGAAAAGGACTGCAGCTCATAGGCACAACATGCCAGATGACAACGTGCAAAACAAGACTGGAGGAAGAACGTCCAGTATAAAACCAGTACAAAATTGAACTGAACTAGAGGGTACTCAATTTGAGGGAATACTAAAAAATATATAAATTTGTCCAACCTACAGCCAGTGACCCAAACTAACCTAGGGCGGATAGGGTCCCCCTGCCCCTGCAGGAAATAGACCTTTATAGGAGGTCCAATGTCACATTTTCCTGCAGAGGGGAGGGGATCCTTGGATGGGATGTATCAAAGCTACTCAGATGGGTGGGACCAGCTGTGGACCCTACTCTTACTGGCACCTGCTGCAGTACTCTCCTACCAGAAGAAGCTTCAGCAGTTGAATAGGCATTAATTCTGTAATGTCTCACAAATGTAGACACAGAAGACTAGATGGCTGCCCTACAAAAAATCCCCCAAAGGTGCTGAGGTGCCAATGGCAGGGAAGCGAGTAGTGACCCCAGCCAGGCAGAACTAGAAACCTCATAGCACTTGGAAATGCATCCTCAGCCATCTGAAAAGTGTAGCATTTGAAACCTTTCCCATGGTCTGCAGCTGGAAAATAAACAGAGTCAGATAAGCAGACTCAAAAATTAAAAGATGCTCATGGACCTGAAAAGGTTTGCAACTTTTGCTGTAGAGAATATACAACTAACCACCGTATGAACCATTATTGTTGCTAACAGGTTCAGAGCACCTACAGCAGTAGAGAATAGCTCTAGTGGCAGAGCTGTGTAATAGTGTTCACTGATTTAAAATTAACTTTTATCCAAGTTGCACAACATACTGTCAACAATATTGCTTTAATGAAATTAGTAAAACAAAGTTATATAAAAACACTCAATTAAATGCATCTAAAACTTAATTTTGTTCCTTTTATCTTATACAATACATTTTTTGGTCCACAACTGGAATAATTTTTTAGTTTTCAGCTACTCCAGAAGATAGTAAGTGAATCTAAAGAAGACATTCACAAAAGAAGTTAATTATTACAAGTTGCAGATTTGAAGCTGTTAACAACCCCTTTTCAGATAGTTAAAACTGAATTAGCTGACACCAGTGCCCTATATTTTCTCATTAGATGAAGCTAGTTCAGTACAAGACAACAGATTGACTTAAGAATGTAACTGCATAGGAAATAAGTAAATGTATTTACAGGAAAGAAAATGTTTTGCATTAAAATGCTATTTACAAAGTCATTTTTGAGTTGGCCTTAAGTAACAGTTAATCCTCTCCGGGATCTAAGCACTTCGTCTTTTCTCTGTTTTCTTTCCTGGACATGCCTCTCCCTCCTCTCTTCTCTGTAAGCAAAACATACCATATTAGATTAACTCATGCACCAGTACTAACAAGTACACAAAGCCAATACAGTGGTACCTTGGGTTACATACGCTTCAGGTTACAGACTCCGCCAACCCAGAAATAGTACCTCAGGTTCAGAACTTTGCTTCAGGATGAGAACCGAAATGGTGCAGTGTGGCGGCACAGCAGCAGGAGGAGGCCCCATTAGCTAAAGTGGTGCTTTAGGTTAAGAACAGTTTCAGGTTAAGAACAGACCTCCAGAACGAATTTCTTAACCCAAGGTACCACTGTAAAGACAAACCGCTCAGTGTTCTTTTGTTGCTGCATCCATTTTTACATCTGGAAGGAGGCATTACATTTTCAGGGGGGGGAACCATACTCGACTATAAAGTTGCATGGTTGAATTCCAGTCATATGTGAAATAATTAAGTCATCTTTGAGAATATTTGGGAAAATAAGTATGACCCCATCCATAAGATAGGCAAATAAGAAATTGCTGTAGTTACTTCTCTGCTTTCCATATCCACTTGCTAGCTCATCCTAGAAGTCAAGTATTTGTATTTCTGAATGACTGCTCTGAGAATAATACTGGATATACTGGAGAAAGTTTTCAATCCCGATTGGGGTTTAAATTGCATAAACTATATACAAGATTTTTAATATTGATAAGTAGCTTCAGCTGCCACTTAAGATTATTTGTAGCATAATGGGACGCTTGAAAACTGAAGACAGTTTCATCTCTTTAAAGGTCCAGTATTAGTCAGGGGCCTGCAAGGACAGAAGTACTTGGCCTTCCTTCATCCCTAAAGCAAGTTTAAATTGAGTGTGTAATATAATTAATAATAATAGTAATTTATTATTTATACCCCGCCCATCTGGCTGAGTTTCCCCAGCCACTTTGGGCGGCTCCCAATCGAGTATTAAAAACAATACAGTGGTACCCCGCAAGACGAACGCCTCGCAAGACGGAAAACCCGCTAGACGAAAGGGTTTTCCGTTTTGGAGGCGCTTCATAAAGCGAACTTCCTATGGGCTTGCTCGCAAGACGACAGCCCATAGGGAAATCTCAGGGACAGCGGGGAAGCGCAGCGCGTCTTCCCACTGTCCTCCGACCTCCTCCGAAGCCTGGCGGCGGGGCGGGGACACCTCCTCCCGCCGCCGCCGGGCCGGAAGGCTCCTCCGAGGCCGGGCGGGGGAGGGAACACCTGCCGCCGCCGCCCGGCTCGGAGCGGTGCTCCGAAGCCGGGCGGGGGGAGGGAACACCTGCCGCCGCCGCCCGGCCGGACGGTGCTCCGAGCCGGGCGGGGGAGGGACACCTCCCGCCGCCGCCCGGCCGGGCGGTGCTCCGAGCCGGGCGGGGAGGGAACACCTCCCGCCGCCGCCCGGCTCGGAGCGGTGCTCCGAGGCCGGGCGGGGGGAGGAAGACCTCCCGCCGCCGCCCGGCTCGGAGCGGTGCTCCGAAGCCGGGCGGGGGAGGAAGACCTTCTGAAGGCGGGCGGGGGCGAAGTCTTTGCTCCCCCTGCCTGCCTGTCCCGGAGGGCTTTTGAAGGCGGGGAGCAAAGACTTTCGCCCCCGCCCGCCTTCAGAAGAGGTCCAGGACCTCTTCTGAAGGCTGGCGGGGGCAAAGTCTTTGTCCCCTGCCTGCCTTCCCAGGGGCTTTTAAATTGCCCCGGACAGCGGAGAAGTCCTCCGCTGTCCCGGGGTGATTTTAAAATGCCGCCCGCCAGCATTTTAAGATCGCCCGGACAGCGGAGAAGTCCTCCGCTGTCCCGGGGTTTTTTAAAATGGGGGGGGTGGGAATAAAAGCCCTTGCCCCCCCCCCCCCCGCCTTCAGACCAGGTCCGGGGACAGTCTGTCCCCGGACCTCTTCTGAAGGCGGTTTCCCTAGGAACGCATTAAGTGATTTTCAATGCATTCCTATGGGAAACCGTGCATCGCAAGACGAAAAACTCGCAAGACGAAGAGACTTGCGGAACGAATTAATTTCGTCTTGCGAGGCACCACTGTACAGCATTAAATATTAAAAACTTCCCTAAACAGGCCTGCTGCCTTCAGGTGTATTTTAAAAATAGGATAGTTGCTTATTTCCTTGACATCTGATGGGAGGGCATTTCACAGGGCGGGCTCCCTACCATGAACAACACACCTTATGGTTTATTTTAAACCTCCCTTTCCCCTATCCCCAAGCTGTACTGCTGGCCCCAAACCTCATGCTGCAGAATGACAGAAGTATTGTGGGGGGGGGGGGGTTGCGGATGTTTCAGCTCTCAACCCAAGAGTACACTTCAGGAGGAACCCTTACTTAATGGGGGACCACTTTTCATTATTTGTATCTCCAACCTAAGGGTGCCCGAGGACCTGTCGCTGTCTTTTATGCTTTGCACAATTAAAACTTAAACATATATCACCTATTTTCATGTCCCTCTCTTAAATCAAGTTCTTCCCTTTGCTTTTGTCAGGGCTTTCAATGTTTTCTATCAAGTGGCTTCAGTTGAGCTTTCTAAGTTGAAAGCCTATGAAAGGTGGCCAGACCTCCCTCCCTGCATATTTTGTGAGGGTGAGAAGGCATGCACACTAATGTGTGGAAAGAGCTCATCCATGGGAGAGGGAGATCTCGAGTGGCTCAGTATCCCGTCTCTTGGGGAGAATTTCTACACATACCGTATGTTAGGCACATACTTGTATTAGGCAATATTTTAAATAAAGTAATACATAACATCCACCCACAATATAAAAATACTTTGCCAAGTATGTTAGTATATGCACAAAACCCTTTTCGCTTGCCATGTGTATGGCCCGCAGGTGTGACACTGCTTGCTTGATCACTTCTATACACAGCAGTCTTATTGCAGAACTATCAAATCCTTACTTTGTCTATAGGAGACCTCATTGGATGGCATGGGGCCACCAACATTGCTACTAGAGGGTAGGTAAGATGGCCCATACTAGGATTGGTCCACTGTTTGAGCTCTTTTATGATTTCCAAAGCATACACATGTGAGTGGAGTGAAGTGAAGTGAAGTGAAGTGAAGTAAAGTTATGAGAGTGGTCACAACATCTGAAAACAGCATATGGTAGACTGTATGGCAGCCTTAAGTCATATACTTGCCTAGTCTGAAGAAGTGGCTGTTTATAATTTCTCTTGTGTGAACATGGAGTCTGGAGATTCTCCTTTGATTTGCCCCAAGGTTTCAGTTTTCCTATATTTACATAGAAGGAAAATATGCCAAGATTTAGCTTTTGTATATAGCACATATTGTTTGAGTGAACTTGAAGATAATTAAGTATATTCCAATTTCAGTCTGAACATTAGCACTTACTACTTGCAGTGTATTATTACTCTGGAAAGGCAAAATTCATCTAGAAATCAGTGCTGACCTACTTAAGCTTGAACACATGAAATTTTATGATCAAGGAATGATTAGATCAGGTAACTTTTTTCAAGCCTACCAGTAGTGGGGTTTACTCACACAACTACTGTATGTCTTCTGTGAGAAACTAGTGAACAGTACTAATACAGTAAAGCATAATTCTTATAGGAATTCATGAAATGCTGCAAGATGGGTTATTTTACTTGCTATCCTTTGCAGTTAACAGAACTAGACAGAAATACGCTTTCCCTACCTCTGTATGTAGCAGGCAAAAATCCCTAGGATTGGTAGTGCTTTCTACTTTGTCTAAAGGTCTGCGTCATGGCTTTCACAGACCAAGAATGAACTCATTTCAATATGATTTAGAAAAGACAAATTCAGTAAGATTTCTAAATGATGTACATAAAATTTATCGATCCAAGTGGTATGATAAATGGGAAGATAGCTCAGCTGGTAGAACACAAGACTCTTAATCCCAGGGACGTAGGTTCAAAGCCCATGTTTGGCAAAGGATCCCTGCATTGCAGGGGGTTGGACTAGATGACCCTGTGGTGTATTTCAGCTCTACAAATTTATGATTCTATGTACTGTACACTGAAAGTTGGGGTCATTTTAGGAAAACACACATTTTGCAACTATATTGACATGCCAATTTTCAATACCTTTGTGTGGCTGATAGCCAAGAGGTCTTGACAGACTTGCTTGTAGATCAAATACTGGTTTCTTTGCGCTGGTGGCTTCAAACTTGAAAGGCGTAACGGCTATTAAAAGAAGACCGCATATGAACACCAGTGACGGGCAGGTAAAACTTAGCAAATGATACCAGCTAAACTGTTTGCTGCTTGACAGTGTTATGTATAGAAGCTTGACTGAGCTGTAAATTTGATGAAAAGCCAGCTACCCTTACACTTCCATTTGGAGTCTAGTAGTAATTAGAGGTAAATACTGAACTCCCCAAAGCAAAAGCAAAAGGTTAAAAAGAGGATGATGATGTTGCTCTTTTTTAAACTAAAAAGTCGGCTTGAGTTTTTCAGTCATCTAATGTACTGAACAAATAAATTACAAATATAGTTACACTGTAAAACTGCCTTTATTCCAAAGGAGCATGAATGCCTTTCAATTAGACAAGTATTTATTAAAGGAAAGAAAATTTCCATTAAGAATATGGGTCGCAGGGGGTGAAGTGGAAGAGTGACGAGACAGGACACCACATGGGGCTTCAAGAGACAAATCAAGGAAGGCATGAGGAAAGACCTCAGTCTCCAGAGACAGTTTACTTATAACACACTGGACTGTATATTGGAGGGCAATGCTGTTCCAGCTTTTCATGCTGAATTAATTTATCCCTTCTTGTTGCCCACTCCATCAGTGTAGAGTTATTTCAGTGCCTTAGACACTGAGGAGAGAGAACCCAATCCTGACTATGTAACAATAGCCCACAGATTCTGCACCAGATGCCTACACTGCAAGAATTACCTCGTCCTTGTAGAATCAAGTATAGGCAACTGCCATTGTGTTTATTTGCAAATTAAGTTCATCAGTTACCAGAGTTTGTTGGGATTTCTGCTGATTGATGCTTTGTTGCACTTCCTTTGGAATTTGTCATAGTTATTGACTTATTGCTCTCCTGGCTGGCTGGGGTACCAACGTTCGGGAAAGGAGTTTTTCTAGATGGCGTCTTGGTAAGGGAGCGCTTGTGCTCGTTATCCTTTGTAGATGTAGAGAATCTGAGCAAAACAGTTATTTTCAGTATTTAATGGTCGAGTTTCAGCTGTTCCTTAAATCAATTTTCTTCCAAATAAACACTGAAAACATGCAACAGAGCCCGAACTACTAACCCCCCCCACAATCTTTTAGAGTAGTGTTTATTTTTATTTTGTTTATTAGATGTGTATATCAACCCTTCATCCATTGTTGTAATTAAATATACACATGCTTCAACTGTGTAGCATTCTATAAATGTCACAATCTCATAATACTAATATTATTTTATTAGCTGTTGCTACTTATAGTATCTTTACCTGACATTCATCTTGGTGGTAGAGAGGCAGGTTGAGCTGAATATTGATTTTTGAGATAAAATGCTTTTGTTTGCAGTGCCAGAAGAATTGCGTGGTGAGTGTCGCAAGTTTACGGGAGTACACACAGCAGACTGCTTATTCCTTTGAGGATAAGGGCTTAATAAAAACCCTCTGGAACTGGAACGCTTCTGCAAATATGAGGGATATTAGCATATTTTCAAGTCTGCACTGTGATTTGGAGTAAGTCAGGGATCATTAAAGTTTTAAGGTAAGCTGAAAACCAATAATTTATTCTCACCTTGGAATTACTGTTTTGAGATGTCTTCTGAGCCAGCATCTGCCAACATTTGAAGATAAACTGTATCATTTCTATGGGTGTTATTCTAGTTCCTCAAGATGAACACATTGCCAAATTAAAAGCAAATATGGCTTGCTTTAGCCAAAATAAGAAATCCCACAAAAATTGATACAAGCACAGACTGCCTATTGCTGTCTGTCTGAGCCCTATGCAGGCATTAGGAAAGCTACTATACCAGGAGATGAAAAACCACTGAAATCAGTATATGAACCTCAAAATATGATTGCTTTAAAGTTTAATTTGTCAATACTTCTGTGCACTTTCAGTCCATTAGGATATTTTAGTGCTTTACAAAGTTAAACCAAGTGATAAACACAAAACCAAACTCCAAAACCAGGCTGTATCTAGTGCCCTAAGCTAAAGAGCCACATTTTCATTGCCTGCTGAAAAGCAGGCAGAAATCACATGGGTCTCAATTGAAATGTTATCTGAAGCTGTTAGCTTATCACATTGGCTATAATGCCTAGCAAACTTTCACATCTAAATTATATTTGCGCTAGCCCACCACTGTGTTGTTTTCGGGGGCTGATTCCTAACTTTCTAAAGCAGGGGCAGGAGGAGGAAGAGGGATAAAAGGGAGAAGACACTATTGTAAATGACTTGGTGGGGAAGGGGAAGTCTTTCTGTGTGTGAGGTGGGGAAGAGAAGAGGAAGGGGCAGGGGTAAAGGTGGCATTTGGAGGAATGAGGGGAATAGAAAGAAAGGTAATTGTGAGAGAAACACAATTTTAGGGCTCTAGTGGCAGAGGGGGGGAAAGGCTGGAGAGGAGGAATTGGGGAGTAGATGAAAGTGGATGGATTTAAATGGGGCATTCGCAGTGCTGTGGAGGAAGGAGCACTGAGGGAAATGAAGGGGAATATGTCAGTGTCCCTTGCTTCATGGTGTATTCAAATCTCTCCCTCTTCCATTCTTCAGCTGCCTAATATGAGAAAGATAGAGGATGGATGTGGAGCCCTCAAATATTCCATAGTACCTTCATGCAATGTTGTTCATTGAAGCATAGTCTGTGTGCAAGCAGGAGTTGAGAAAAGGAAAGGGGAGGGGGGAAGGTAAAGGGTGATGGTAAAACTGGTGCAAAACGGGCTGCAAAAAAGTAGAGGCACAAAAGGGGCTGCTGAATAGGAGGGGATGGTGGCTTCATAATTTGGCAGACGACAAGAGTAATTAGTTGCAATGTTTGGGAAGAGAATGTAGGTGGGTCTGTGTGCAGGGAGGGTGCATAAAAAAGTAGGGAAGAGGCTGCATGGACGTGGGGGTGAATGCGAAAACCGGTGCAAAGCAGGGTTGCAGAATAGAAGTGACTTCTATCCTGAATGGGGTTGGAGATATGAAAAGCGAGCTTTTTCACTGCATGGGGTGGGAAGGAGCTCTAGGATGTTGATGCTGGAGTGATTGTGGGGTTGGTGAGGGGAGTGAGTAGCGCAGAATACTTCAATAGTCCTGCAGTCATAATGCTGAAATACCTGGTGATTATAAAATACAAATGTTTAAAAAGTCAATCTCCACAAGACTTATGGGGACAAATCGGTTTCAACCCTGGTAAGAATGTCCCCTGAAAATTAAGGAGGCTCTAACAAAACAACAACAAAAGAAAAATGGAAAAACCAAAAGAAAGGTATGGAGAATGCAGGCCAGTTAGGACTGGGCCAAGCTACTCTGTGGGTCAGAATACATTGTATGAAAGAACTTCACAGTACACAGGGACTGAAAGACCTGTAATTGGTGAGATGGTCTTTGGAAGAAAGGAGGGCTAAATTTATGACATGCACTCTAATTACAGTGGTGCCCTGCAAGACGAATGCCTCACAAGACGAAAAACCCGCTAGACGAAAGGGTTTTCCGTTTTTCGATGCGCTTCGAATTTCCCTATGGGCTTGCTTCACAAGACGAAAACGTCTTGCGAGCCTTGCGATTTTTTTCGCCCCCCCCTTTTTCTAAGCTGCTAAGCCGCTAATAGCCTTTTAGCCGCTAAGCCTTTAATAGCCGCTAAACCGCTAATAGCACTAATCCGCTAATAGGGTTGCTTCGCAAGACGAAAAAACCGCTAGACGAAGAGACTCGCGGAACGGATTATTTTCGTCTTGCGAGGCACCACTGTACTATGAGTGAATGCAGGTTTCATTCTAAATACTCTGCATATAGGGTGGGGTGGAGAAAGTTAATCCTTACCTTGACCTCATTAACTGAATTGCTGAAGTTGCGAATCATTTTATTTTTCCTTTCAAGGTATTCATCAATAGATTGCATTTTCTTGAACTGAGCCTCGTGAATTTTCTTAAAGTCTTCAGAATTAAAAAGAACATTGTTACCAATATTTTTCTTTAAAAGTACACATACCAATTTAATTGCTAGTTTGCATCCCCCTATAAATCAACAAGAATCATGCAGGTGAGTGTGCTAGAAGAGAAATGGAGCACTCAGTTCCCTTATCTGCACCCAGCAAAGAAATGCAGCAGACTGCTGTAGTCGGGAGGCAGAGATTGTTATTCTATTTGCAACTAGTAACTTTACAAGGTTGTGTCCAACATTGCTGTTCCATTTGCACAGTAACTTCCTTTTCTCCTGCCCCATATAGCCCCACCCCACATACCCAGAACATCTGCTCCAGAGAAGATTCTGTGGATGAACAGAGAAGGAGGAAGGGGAAATATCATTGTGTGAGTGCAACTCCACTTGTGCAGCACTGGATACAAATATGTATAACAATATTTACTGCTGAATTTCTACAGTGGATTCAATACATGAACAGACATTTGTTTTGAATAGGTGCTTTGTTGCTCCCGAAATAAAGTTGCCATTTAAAAAAATTAAAGTGACAGCTATATTCCTCCTCTAGTTCTTTAGCATTGTGTTAATTATCTGCAATTGTACCCTTATTAAATTTATTCTCCCATTTTTAGTTGTAAAGTCTCTTTTGTTCAGTACTTGCACAAACCATTCCTGCTTCTGTTATCGCCCAAGGTCTTGACATCTATTTTTTAGCTTCATGAATGTCAGTAAAAATATCAGATTCATGAGATTTTCCTTACTGTTATTCATGCTGATAAATCAGACTAATATTTTAAAGAAAAGAACAAGTCTACTGCAAATCTTGAAGAGTTTTGATTTCTCATTTATGTTTGCAGCATAGAATATCATTCGTGCCTCTAACTTTTGGTACAGTATACAACAAACAGTAGCTTATGTAAAAATGTAATCTCCAAATGTTTTCAGATGTCAAAACTTGAATTTTGCTTTTTCACAGCAATGTTCTATAAGTATGAGTTTGACAGTTTCCCCACATTTCCCTCTACAGGTTATCTGCATGTAATGTCATGGAAGCATGTATTAATCAGTTGGATTTGTACCAGGTATTAGTGTCTTCATGGATAGTTACCTGTGAGCATGGGAAAACTTGGAAATATTTGCACATTTATTACAGCTTATCAGAGTAAGAAAGCATGGTTATTTTAAGATGCAAGCACATGTAGCAGATGCAACTCAAGAAAATGAGCTGGTACATATGAAATATAAGCAGAATACTAGTACATCAAAAAGAAAAGT